ATATATATCACATTTTTCACATCACTGTATCACCGTTTAGACTAATCCGATGTTTGTAAAGTCTATAAACACAATGATTGAACAAACATTACTATTTCTTAGCCATTAGCAGTGTCTGTAATAGGTAATAACTCATTAAACGGTCCGTGAAAAAAATATTTTTTCCAGCGGATATCTTAGTTACAACATGATTGAGCTAGCAAAGCAGTTTTGTGTTGCTACGTGTGGTATTTATTCAGTTTTGGGAAATCACGATGTCTAGAAAGCATCAGTGGCTGCAGCTGACAGGGACAGCTAACAGCAGCAGCAAAGCTAACATCAGGACGTCATCTGTTAAAAGCCTCCCGTTGTCGGATACGACATGAAACTACTCCACTTAGCTCAATCATGTTGTAACTAAGACATCCGCTGGAAAAAATATTTTATTCACTAATGAGCACACGTTTGATAAAACAGAGTTTAATCTCTCAGCATCCATTTTCAAGCTCTCTGTGTGTTTGTTTCCTTGCGGACGAGAAAAGGGGGAGCGCACGTTTCCGAGAAGGCGTGTCCTTTTCAAAAATGCAAGAGGCGTTGCTTTGTTGCCAGCCGTTTTCGCCGGTGTGTTAAACACACTTTAGAAAGGAGTGTCCCCAGACTATCAGAAGGTGGAGATCTCTGATTGTCTGGTGGCGAGACTAGGGTAGGGGGTAATACGGCCTCAGGATTGCCTTATTCAAGGGCCGTGGGTCTAGGCACACTCTGAGCTTGCCTGTTTTTGGCTTTTCACGTTACCAGGGCATTAACCCACTGTGTGGGCTCAGTCACTTTGCAAATTATGTTGTCCCTTTCCATGTTGTCCAGCTCTGTTTTTAAGCGGTCTTTTAGGGCGAATGGCACCCTCCGTGGCGGGCAAACCACTGGTGCTACACTGAGGTCTATCCTGAAGCTGCACTCACCCTGGAATTTACCAATGCCTTTGAAGACATCGGAGTACTCACGCAGTATGTCGGCTGGCTGTGTGTTGCACTTTGCCTCGCTGGTGTCAGTGACCGAGTATACTACCTTGACAAGTCCCAGTTTTTTTACACGCTTTGAAGCCTAGGATGGGCGGGCCGTTGCAGTCTACGATGTGAAACTTCTGGGTGGTTGACTTGTCCTTATATCTGGCTTATAGGTTGCAGTAACCCTTCACTTTCAGCGGATGCCCCCCGTAGCCATGTAGCTTGTGTTCTGCAGTCATTAGTGGTGTGCCGGGCATGATTTTGGCAAAGTCTGTTGTAGGTATCACGCTTGTTTGCGTTCCTGTATCAAGTTTGAATGTCAGTTTTTTATTCTGTAATCCCAGTCTTACGTCTGCATAAGCACTTTCATCATCTTCACTCTCTGCTGTAACAGTGTCCACAAACAGCTCTGAGTCAAAATCCTCATCATCTCTCTCAACTGTGTGTACGTCTCTGTGTCTTGTTTTGTTGGGAGTATGGGACTTTGATCTGCATGCTCTTGCAAAGTGGTTAAATTTTCGGCATTTTAAGCACTGTTTCCCCTTTGCTGGGCATTCAGTTAGATTATTGTGGTGCCCCCCACATGCACTATAGGGTTTGTTTGTCGTCTTCGGGCTCTCATTTGGCCTGCTAGAGCTTCTCGCCGTGCCTGGCTTGTCTTGTGGTGTATTGCATGCACTTCGTGGCTGTTATTAGCCATAGCTTTTAGCTGCACCTGCGCTAGCTCGTAAGAGGGGGCTATATCAATTGCCTTTTCTAGTGTTAGCTCCGGTCCCTGACTGAGTAACTTTTCTCTTACTCTGGGTGAGTTGGTAGCAAATACTATACGGTCCCTGACCATTTCCTCACCATTTGTATAGTCACAGTCTTTAACGAGCAGTTTAAGCTCTGTTACGAAGTGTTCAAATGACTCACCGCTCCCCTGCATTTTCTCATGAAACTTGTACCTGGCAAATATGGGGTTAGCTTTCGGCGTGAGGTATGCTGAAAATCCATCGTAGTACGTTTTTAACAGTTTAGCACTGTCCTCGGTTAATGTCCAAGTGTTGCTGATGTCCCTTTCTTTATCCCCGATCCATAGAAGGAGGAAACTGCATTTTTCTCCCTCCGTCTTCTCTTTGAGCGAGCCGGTAAACATGAGTTCAGCATGTTGTCTGAAGCGCCGCCATGCGTCAGGTAAGTTGGATGAATCCCAGTCCATCTTCGGGGTAGGGACACCGAAAGCCTCCATTTCGTCTGTTTGCAGGTGGGTTCGTAGACTAACTACTTACTCTGACACCATGTTGTGACTATATGTCTATATTAATAAAATGAGGTACACAGTTGTTCGGGAGCATCGGTCATGCCATCTGGTGTTATTTACCTTCCGCTCTGCACATTCATACAGTCAAGCTACTTCCTTATCTGCTTCCTGTCCAGGTGCATTTCAAAGAAAGTAAAGGTCTTGCTGTAGCAGTAGTATTAAACATTATATAGGCATATATATATATATATATATATACAGTACAGTACAGTACAATACAGTTACACAAGTTAACTAATTGAGTTGGAATCTTTGCTGACAGCTTGGTCCCCCCCAGTTCAAAAATTCCATCTGCGCCCCTGATGGAGCGGACACCCCGTGATCAGACGCCCAGCGCCTGATGCAGCGGCTGCGGGTTCAAATCCAGCCTGCAGCCTCTCGCTGCGCGTCATTCCCTCTCTCTCTCTCAACATTATGCTGTTTTGCCATTAAATGCAACAAAAGACCCGAAAATAATCTTAAAAAAGAGGAATTCCGAAGAACTGCAGGTTTGTCAGTGTTAATCCGAAATTAATCTACGTTACATTATGCGTGATCCATGAATACTTTTCATAGGCTATATTCAAAGATTCCGCGGTGTAATTGGCTCATTTACGGGGCTCAACACCCCATAATAGCTCCATCTGAGCATAAAGGAGATTACGTGAATCAGGAGTCATTTTACAGCAGTTTAACAATTCAATTAGACTAAACTCAGCCTAATATTGACAGAATGAAGAAAGTAGCCTATAAGCAAAACTTTTACCAGTCTGCACATTTTTGTGCACTGCCCAGTGTGTTTGGGCTCCATCAGATTACAGTTGAATAGCCTAAATTATATTCAAATATATGAACTCTGTGTAATGTTTCTGTATTTTCTGTAGGCCTATATTAGACACATTAACACATCACATTACATAGCCTAACATCACTTCACATTATACTGACACACTGCAGTCTGTTCCCATCACACCTCACGCTGTTTAGCTGTAGCTGACGTGTTAGTTTTTATTTTTTTCATTTCGCGGTCATTAAAATCTCCGACTCAGCTGTGATGAAACAAGCGGCTTTCCGCTTTCGGCCACTGAATATCACTGTATCTGCACTCCACTGATGATGTCTTTCGGTGCTCGCCGTGAAAGAGCTTCCCTCAGGCGAAACATACTCAGAGTTGATTGAACTGATTCTGATCAGCTGTTCTGGAACCGAAAACTCAGAGTTTCTCAGCTCAGGCTCAGTCAACCTGGAGATAGGCTCAGAGTTTGTCGAGCCTGCTTCCTGAAGTAGGGCCCAGGAACAGACTGCACAGGTGTGGATATGACAGATTCTGGGTATAGAGTAGCCTATATTTAGAATAAATACAAAATACAACCATTTAAAGTTATAGACTATTCACTCCCCTAAGCCAAAAAAGAGAGAAAAAAACCCAAGTCTCTCTTCAGTGTTTAATTTTTTTATTTTTTTGACATGCCTTCCCCATTTTGCACCACCTGTTGCGTGTAGCAGGAAGGAGAAACATGGCGTGTCCTTTTGTGAATGAAGTTTAGGACGCTGGGGCACGGTTTGTTAAGATGATGTTGTGTAAAGAGAAGGTGATTAGACCCCGTTTGGGCACTCTATCATTTATCTAACAATCTTTTCCACCCAGATATATCAAATATTACACATTGTGGATTTACATTATCATTGAAGCAAATTTTATGCATTGCCCTTCAATTCTTCTGCAGCGGCAGTTTTCTTTATAACATCAGAGACACTGAATACATCAGCAAGGCAAATTTTGTCGGTCGTAAGAAAAGTGACTCTGGCTCTGAAAAGACTTTTGCCCGTTTCAGCGGTTTTCCCTGGACATAGGCCTGCCTAAATCAGAAAGGATTATCAAGAACAGTCTTGCGGGTCATCAGTGGCATGGTGGATGGAGCGGACTTCCGACGGAAAAGAGCTCTAGGTTTGATGCAGCAGCCCGACTTCAAACTCAGTCAGTAGTCCTTTGATGCGTGTCGTTCCCTCTCTCCCCATAACATTATGCTGTTTTGCCAAAAGCCCAAAAACTAGTCTTAAAAAATGAGGAATTCCACAGAGCTGTAGGTTTGTGAGTGTTAATCAGAAATTAATCTACCTGGATAAATGATACAGTGATTCATGAATAGCCTACTTTTCATATCCTATTCAAAATTTCCGCGGTGTTATTGGCTCATTTATGGGACTCTCCTCCCATAATAGCTCCATCTGAGAATAAAGGAGATAACTTAAATAGGACGTCATTTCACAGCAATTATTAACCTCGGCCTAATATTGACAGAATGAAGTAGTCTAAGTAAAGGCAAAACTTTGCAGTCTCTACAATATCATTGTGTTTGATTTTGAGTTTGTATCCAGTGTGTTTGGGCTCCATCAGATGAATAAGAGGAAATAGCAAATTATATTAAAATATATGAACACTGTTAAGATAGACCTATAAAAATGGTTATATTTTTTGAAGATTAGACATGCATTAACTCATCACATTACATAATGTCACTATTAACATGCTCTGCAATCTTTTCCCATCACACCTCACGCTGTTTAGCTGCAGCTGCCGTAATAGATTAGTTTTCAAGTCTTCGTTCGCCGTTATTAAAATCTCCGATTCAGTTGGGATGAAACAAGTGGCTCTGCTGTTAACTCCGCTTTCTGCCACTGAGAATCACGTTATCTGCACTCCATTGATGATGGCTTGTGGTGCTTGCCGTGAACGAGCTTCCCTCAGGCTGAACATACTCAGAGTTGATTGAACTGATTCTGATCAGCTGTTCTGGAACCGAAAACTCGGAGTTTCTCAGGTCAGGCTCAGTCAACTCAGAGATCAGGATTAGGCTCAGTTTGTTGAGTCTGCTTTCTGAAATAGAGCCCCAGGTTGAGGAAGACAAAATCCAGGGGGAGGCAGCAGAGTAACTTCAAACTTGCCATCTGCCGTAAAACCCCAAAGAAGAAGAAGAAGAAGAAAAAGAAGAAGAAGAAGAAAGAAACGGTAAAGAGGGTGTGCAGTGTTGTCGTATCCTTGTCGACAATGTGTTTGTATTTTAAAAGACTAATGTTACAGTAAAAGGCTGTTTGATTAAAATGGAGAGGTGGCTATAGCCGCCACAGTTATGCATTAACGTGCTGTTTTAAGCGTTTACTGAAGTTGTGTTAACTTACCCAGCGGTTGGATTTGTTAGCTGGCTAAACGAACAGCGGTAACGTTAACGGTCCACCCGTCAGAGATGATGGAAAAATAACGGAGCTGTCAGCTCGTTAATGCAAGCATTTGAAGTTACACTAACGTTACCTTTGCTGGACACCGAGCTAACTTTAGTTTAGCCTTTATGGTTCTGCTCTTATTTGGAAGAAGTATTAACGTTATGCCAAATTGAGTCTACAAATCTGGCGTATGTGTGACATGGCCCTGTAACATGACGAACTGATAATGTGTTAAAATCTTTGTTTAACCTTCAGAGTTTATTAATAATTTAGAATCGTTTTAGAGTTTATAGTATATTCTAGAGCTGTATTACCATATGAGGAATATATGTGATAACATTGTTGAATAACGATATTACGGGCGATACATAAACCCATAATAAAATGTACTCAGTGCAGCCCTATTTCTGCTTTCAGTATACAGCTGAAATACAACAAATTGCTTGTTGAATTTAAAAATGAGAGGAAACCAGTTCTACCATAATTTTATTCAACAAATGTAACATTGGAATGGCAACATGAGGTTCCAATAAAAAGATCGGAAGTTTTATGTTAAATTTATGTCTTCTACTGATATTGTCTTTCAACTAACTCAAAAAATACCTATATGCCACATCAGAGTCTTTTATAGCAAGTTGATATTGCAATGACGATTAAATCAAAAGTTGATATATTGTGCAGCCCTAGTACATTCTAATGAGTAGGTCATCACATCTTAGTTTTACTGTATGTTTTGGTGGGAGAAGACTGTATCAATTAGGCAACTGTGTTTTAAAATTTAGGATTTTCTTTAAATAAATGTTACTTTGTGAATCATATTCATATTTTTTTTCTCTTTTTTTGCTACAGCTTAAAAGTGTACTTTGTAGTAATTTGATGTAATGTTGTCATGTTAGAGTTTAGAACTGTTGACTGTATATCTGTTCCTGTAAATCTCTGTTTTAGCATAGCACTGTTAATCGTCACAATTTGTTTTGGTCAGGATGTTTTCTCATCAGGTCACTCTCTGTCAGTAGACTGGGTTAATTTACAGTCACTAGTCGCTGTCACTGTTTAACACAACAGTCTTACATGTATAAAGACTAGAGTTTGACAGGCTGACTGACTGTGTGTGTGGTTATGGGTTCAATACGCAGCTTGTTTCTTTCCAGGAACGGTTTTTACAGTTGAAGATGACGACTTCATGGAGTGACCGTTTGCAGAACTATGCCGACCTACCAGCCAACATGGACGGTGTGGCCATGAAAAAGTATCGACGTGAAGCTAACCACAGGTACGGTGGCCAGTCCTGTTCCTTACACAAATTCTATTCAATCATTTATTTATCACATAGAATTATACAAGGTACAACTCCAGTGACATTTAGTCCTTTTTTGCATCTTCTTACATTGTTGGCTGCTGCTTTATAATGGTTCATGTTTCCGGATGGTTCTGGTAATCCATGATTTCTGGTTGTGGAATGATTTAACTGTCCACACATCTGGACCCAGACAAGATGGCTGTATGGTCACTCCTCTTGACCACGAGCAGCACTGCACTGCAGCTGCATCTGAACGGTGTTTAACAGTGATCCACAGCAGGAATAGGACAGCACCTCACTTTCCCACCATCACACCAGTCCTTAGTCACTGTAAAGCACACTCCTTCTCTTGCCAGAGTCCTCGGCTCTGTCAGATCAGCATATAGAAAAAGAGCCTCCTGGTTAAATGGCCCTGTCCAGGATTTAGCCAAGTTTCTGTGAATCAAAGGATACTACAGTTTCTGACATCCCATTGAAAACTGATGTAGCAATAAAGGTAATCTAGTGTACTATCCAACACCTGTACACTTGCCGTCCAGGTGCTAGTTTTGCTGTTCCCATTTTCTCCTTGATGTTTACTGATGTTTACATTTGAAAACCTTCACCCTGCAAGCTAGCAGAAGTTGATAGGTGAAGGGTTTACAGACTTATGTGTTGATTTCCTTATTCCAGAAATTGACTCGCAGCCACACGCCACCGCCGTCCAAAGCCAACTACAGAAAGCACCACCAACACTTAAAATAGATAAAAGAGCCTAAATGCAGTGCAAATGTAGTGGAGCTGAGAGAGAGGCAGCTGGAAAGATCTGTGCGTATGTCATAATCTTAGTTTGGGATTTAATATTTCCAGAGCACTGAAAATGCAGCAGATGAATGATAAATGATAAAAACAAGTTCACATACATTTAAGCAGAAGAAGATCCATTTATAGTAGACAGCATCAGAAAACAGCAAGGGCAAAAGGAAAAAAAATGCCACAAGAAATATCACAACTCCTCTGAAAATTGCTATCCAGAGAGATTTTAAAAAAAAAAAAAAAAGAAGAAGAAGAACCGGTGTATCTGGTACCTCCTTCCTCCAGCCTCAACAGGGAGAAAAGGCAGTTATCAGGGTAGCTGGGGTCTGTTATGATTCTCCTGGCCTTATTTTTGCAGTGCTTGATGTAAACATCCTTTATGCAGGATAGAGCAGCCCCTATAGTGTGTTCAGCCAAACAAACCACTCTTTGCAGGGCCATACCGTCCTGTTTGGTGCTGTTTCTTTACCATCCCCATCAGGAAACATAATGAAATGAAATCTTAATGGTGTGATGCAACTCCTCAGTATTTGAGGGGATATCTGTAATTTCTTCAGACATCTCAGGTAAAACAGTCTCTGCCTTACCTTTGTCACCACTGAGTCAGTATGCAGCAGCCAGGTCAGGCCCTCAGTGATGTGGACACACAGGTGTTTGAGGCTATTCACCCTGTCCACCAAGGACCCGGTGATATTAAGGGGGTTGTAGTTCCTTTACTGCCTTTTCCCAAAGTCCACTATCATAGTAGGCAAATTAGGCAAGATGGCGCCCCCAGTGCGGACGCCTGTTACAGCAGCTCCTGCTCCAGCACAATTTTCTTCTTTTTAACTTTCTTACTTGGGCTTTTTTTTCCCTTCAATTTAGCTAGCACTTGTGTTTTGTTTTGTTGTGGAGACGAAGACCACTTTCTTCATAGCGGTCTTTCTTCCATTTTTCTATGGATATGATCATGTGCGCAAGCTGCGGAGAAGGAGACAGGGATGTCTCCTTCTCCGCAGCTTGCGCACATGATCATATGCGCAAGCTGCGGAGAAGGAGACAGGGATGTCGTGCTGGAGTGCAGCGCCAGTACCAGAGGAAACGGTACAAACCCGTCCTTCCGTCCGTCGTCATGGGGAACATAAGATCGCTCCCCAACAAGATGGACAAGCTGGCGGTGCTGACTCGCCATCAGAGGGAGTACCGGCAGAGCAGCGTGCTGGTGTTTACAGAGACATGGCTGAACGAGGAAGTACCGGACACAATCGCCGTGCTGACTGATTCCAGCTCATTAGGCACGACAGGACAGCAGACAGCGGTAAGAGGAAAGGAGGAGGGCTGGCTGTGTTTGTGAATGATAGATGGTGTAACTCTGGGCACATCACTATCAAGGAACAGCATTGCTGCAGGGACATTGAGCTGCTGGCTGTTGGCATGAGACCATATTATTTACCCAGGGAGTTTTCTCATGTCATATTGGTAGCAGTGTATGTCCCCCCGTCTGCTAAAGCTGAGTCTGCTTGTGACGTTCTCCACTCTGTTACGAGTAGGCTGCAGACAAAGCACCCTCAGGCCCTCCTTCTGATCTCTGGGGACTTCAACCATGCCTGTCCTTCCACCACCCTGCCCACCTTCACCCAGTATGTTTCCTGCCACACCAGGGACAATATAACACTGGATTTATTTTATGCCAACACCAAGGAGGCATAGGAGGATTACTCCAGATATAAAAGCTGTCCTGAAGGAGAAGCGGAGAGCTTTTAACTCTGGAACTAGGGAGGAGCTGAAGGCCGTGCAGAAGGAGCTACAGCGAAACCTCACGCGGGGAAAGGAAGAATATAAAAAGAAGATGGAGGAACAGCTGCAGCAGAGCGACGTCAGCGGAGTCTGGAGAGGTCTGAAAACCATCTCAGGACACAAACAACCGGACTGCCAGGCCAGAGGTGACCAGAAGTGGGTGAATGAACTGAATCTGTTCTTCAATAGATTTGATCAGTCTGCCCCTCCCCTGGCCCAGACATCACGGCTGCAACCCCCCACATCCTCACCTTCACCTTCCCTAGGTCCGTTTCCACCGCAGGAACTTCGGGGTAATTTTACGGGGCTGGGGCCATTAGTGCGTGTCTCCACCACAGGAACCACCCCAGAAGGACAGAATTCTGGAACTTTTACAGGGGCTAAACAAGTCCCTGCCTCAGGGTAGGTACTCAGAACGGCCCCGAAAGACTCCTGGCTGGGGCTTGGGATTTACTTGGTGCTGATTGGATATACTCAAGGAGGGATGTGACGTCAACAGAAAGCAACAAAATAGCCAGCATTTTTAAAACTCAGCAGATGAGGGTTAGCTCGTTCATATAGCTTCCACCGCCATCTAAAAAAAACTCACTAAATGGCCTGTGAAAAAAATTATTCTTTCCGGCAGATATCTTAGTTACAACATGATTGAGCTAGCAAAGCAGTTTTGTGTTGATATGTGTGGTATTTATTCAGTTATGGGAAATCACGATGTCTGGAAAGCATCAGTGGCTGCAGCTGGCAGGGACAGCTAACAGCAGCAGCAAAGCTAACATCAGGACGTCATCTGTTAAAAGCCTCCCGTTGTCGGATACGACATGAAACTACTCCAGTTTGCTCAATCATGTTGTAAATAAGACATTCGCTGGAAAAAATATTTTTTTCACGGGCCATTTAGTGAATTTAGTGAGTTATTACAGACACCGCTATCGGCTAACGGCGTCCCTACGTCGCCCTGGTCAAAATGGTCGCGCAACGATTACGTCCCATCCAGAGCCCGGAACTTTACAGGAACCTTCCTCATACTCTGCTCTCTCGGTGGAGACACGGCGGTTGAGAGGGCCGAGTGAGAGGACGTTCCTGTAGTAGTTCCTGCCCCCCAAATAGTACCAGGAACTTCTTCAGTGGAAACGGGCCTCCTTCCACCTACACTCCTGGCACACTGCTTCAACACCTCCCCCACCCCTGCTCCCCCGGACATCTCACCACCCCCCACTCCTCTCCCCATCTCATCACCTCCACCCCCCAGCACACAGGTTACAACGAAAAGGCATGGAGAGGCAGCCTTTGCTTATTATGGCCCTAAACTCTGGAACAGTCTACCTGAGGGTCTAAATCTGTTGAAACTTTCAAACGAAATCTTCAGACACACCTTTTCACCATTGCTTTCTCTTGAAATGTGTTTTTATGTATTAATGTTGTTACTAGGCATTCTTTCATTCATGCTTTTATTTTGTTTTTATTTCTAACAAATGTCTTGATTGTCTTTCCTGTTAAGTGCTTTGTGTTGCATTTTATGCATGAATTATGCTATATAAATAAAGTTATTATTATTATTATCTTATCTGATCATCTCCTTAGTTTTGTGGACGTTCAGGAGTAGATTGTTGTCTTGACACCAATGAGTCAGGTCCTCTACGTCTGTCAGGTAGGCCTTTTTAATGTTAACTGTGATCAGGCCCACCATAGCTGTGTCGTCAGCAAGCTTAATGATGGTGCTGGGAGTCTGAAGTGACTACACACTCGTGTGAACAGGGAGTACATCTGGGGTCTCAAAGCGCAGCCCTAGGGTACTCCTGTGTTAAGGATGAAGTTGGAATTAATGTGTCCACCTGGGGTCTGCTTGTCAGGAAGCTGAGGCTCCACATGCACAGTGAGATGTTTAATTCCTCTTTAATCTTCTCCAGCTGAGTCAGGGTGGCATGGAGGATATGTGCTATAGCGTCTTCTGTAGATCATTTGCGACGGCAGGCAAACTGTAGTGGGCCCGGTGTCCTGGTTAGTGAGGAACAGATGTAATCCTTACCCAGCTGTTAAAAGCCCTTCATCAGTACAGAGATGAGAGCCACTGGGTGATAGTCATTCAGACAGGTTGGTTTTGTGTTCTTGGGCACAGGAATGATGGTAAATTCTCGAAGCACATGGGTATGACAGACTGAGCCAGTGAACGGTAGAATATTTTTGTGAACACTGGCGCTAGTTGGTTTTTCACAGTGACCATCCGTGCTTGTGAACAAGTCAGCCTTTCGAGGATGCTCCTTTCATACCCAATCATGATGCTATCACCTGTTACCAATTAACCTGTTTGCCTGTAGAATGTTCTAAACAGGTGTTTTTTGTGCATTCCCAGTCTTTTATTGCCCCTAGTGCAACTTTTTTGGAACGTGTTGCAGGCATCCAAATTAAGAATGAGTGTATATTTACAAAAAACAATAAATTGTATCTGTTTTAACATTAAACATCTTGTCTTTGGATTGCATTTTATTTAATATAGCTAGATAGAGTGTTACAAATTATTGCATTCTTTTTTAATTTACATTTTATACAGCGTATAAACTTTTTTGGAATCAGGTTTATAGATAGCAGGCTTGGGGGGTATCTTTTTTCTTTATTCTACTGTTCCAAAAATCACCAAATCTGGTTTGGTCACAATAAACCTGAGTTAGATGTGAAAATATGCTCGCCTTTCCCCCGACACCCATGGTCTGTCTGCCTTTGTTTGTCGGTTGTTTACAGTCCTGTAACATTATCCCCACCACTCACAGTTGTTTTTCAGCTCAGCTGCCTGTTCCACTAGTAGAGAATGCAATACATCCTCAATACAGCCTCTCAGTATGAGTTTAGATCTGTATTTTTGACTGTGTTGAAAATCATACCGTCAGGTTTTCTACCAGCTCAGTGGCCTAGTGGTAGAGTGTCCGCCCTGAGACTGGGTGGTCGTGGGTTCGATCCCCGGCCGGGTCATACCAAAGACCATAAAAATGGACCCATTGCCTCCCAACATTTCACTCAGAATCAGGGGTTGGAATTGGGGGATTAGATCACCACGTGATTCCCAAGTCCGGCACCACTGCTGCTCACCGCTCCCTCAGGGGATAGGTCAAATGTGGAGAACAAATTTCACACACTCAGGTGTGTGACAATCAGTGGAACTTAAATCTTTAATCTTTTACCCTGGTATGTAAAGTCTTATAGATAGCAGGCACTGGAGACAGATCTTATCACTCATAGGACATAATAGGGGACTGAGTTGCAATAGAATACAGATGATTCACTGACAAAGACAGTACATCAGAGCCATGTAGCATAACATCGGTGGTAAGACCAGCAGCCATAAGTTCAGTGGTAATACTACATGTATTCTCTATTACAAAGCTTTCCAAGGGATCTGGCTCAAAACCATCCTGCTATGAGGTATGCCATCCTTTTGTTGTTAAAACAAACTGAGACTACTGACTAAATCACTCTTCCATTTTGATGTTCATGATGTGAATTGATTGTTCATTCAACTCTCATGGAACTCCTTGATCCTTTAATCCTCATCCGTTACTGTCAGTCTGATGTCATCTCTCACACAAACTAAATCGAAACTAAAGGTCAGTGTGCAGCCTGAGCAGAATCACAGATTATATGATAACATTATATAATATGTATTTCTGCAGAAGCAATCAGAGATGTAAGAAAAGCAACAAGTGTACAAGGCTGTTTTTTGTGAGCTGCTCTCAGTGAGAGTTTAACTGTTAATGTGAATCACTGCTGAGCAACAATTCTAAATGTGGAACCGAGGAAGTTAAAAACAGGGAAAAGAAAGTGCACAGAAGTTGTTTCAGCATGTCTGCAGGTGACTTTCTAGGCTTTAAATGTATAAAATGATAGTTAAGGTCACGTGGTTAGAGCTGGAAATTAAATACCTATGGTTTTTGAGAAGTGGACTTTTCTGTAGCATAAAATCTCACACTGTTAACTATTTCATTAATTCATATATCATTTAAGTTATCTATCAAACAACAAAGTCAAACTTCCTCCACTGTGGGGATTTTCTGATTTTCTTTGTTTTATATCATTGTAATCATCAATTTAGAAAATAATTTGCAGATGAACTGATAATGAAAATAGTCTTTAATTGCATACTTGGTCATATATCATGACCTGAAATCAAATGCAGTGTCATACTTGTAGTTTGTTGTTTGATTGTATACGTTGTAGTTTATTATGTCTACCTGGCTAAAACTAATGCAATCTACCACCTCTACGCAACTGGATAGGGAGCAAGCAAGCAAACATCAAATTGTTTCAGTTTTTCCCACTGAAGATGTCCTTACCTGCTCCATGCGACAGCAAACAGGCTAAGCGACGTGTAAAAAGAAAAAAAAACACTCCCCTTGACCTTATTTTCCCACTACAAAATGTATCTAGAATTTTGTAGCGCTTTATCTGCCAGAGTTTGCTTGCTTGCTTTATGTTAGGAAGAGGTGTAAGTCAGCATTACTGTAATGGAGGTTCTGATGTTCAGTGTCTGTTGAAACTGTTATGAGACCTGTTGATTGAACTGTGTGATCATTTTTGAGGCTGTAGTTTTTGCTGCTGTTGAATTTTGTTGGTGTATAGTGAGAGGCAAGTCGAATAGCTAGTCTAACCTACCGTGAAACTTAAGTTAGTAACCCGAGCTATTATTTGCTTAAACCACTGAAATCAACAGACCTATATATGGTACAGGCCTTAGATTCCTTTCACACAAAACTGTTGCTCAGCAAAGGGAAATACAATCAAATTGTTTATTTGAACTAGTATGACTATTACTTGTTTAAAAATTAGGGTTCAGATAAAATATCAATCATGAATCATTTATTTTATGTAGATCCAACACAACAATACCTTATCCTGTTAAAACAACACTCACAACTTTGATTAATTTTTATGAAAAACCCTTTTAATCCTTTTGATCTGAGGACACTTACGGACTAAAGTAATACGAATAACTTGCATGGTAATCGAGGAATGGACACATAATTTGAGGTAGCCAACAACCTGTTTTAATACATCTCAAGAACTCCAAAAAAAAAAAAAAAAAAAGAACTGCTTGGCAACCAGACCAGGCATCTAATTGTGATTTGTGATTTGTCAAAATGTGTAGCCACACCGGGCCAGTGAAAGAGTCTACGCATGTAATTTTAATTTAAGTTCTCTTGTATTTATACTGAACAAAAATTAAACTCAACACTTTTGTTTTTGCTCCCATTTTTTCACAGGTTTAAGTTAAAGATCTAAGACCTTTTATTATGCACTCAATACATATATTTCTCTCAAATTTTTATCGCAAATTTGGTAATATCTGTGTCAGTGAGCACTCCTCCATTTCCAAGATAATTCATCCACCTGACAGGTGAGGCATATCAAGTAGAGATGTACCGATACCACTTCCAGGGCGGACAGACGTGCAATAGATGTCGTACAGAACAAATCAACATGATAAATTAACAGTAATGACACAATGAGACAGAAAGAGAGACGGAGACAGAGAGAGATGCAGGACAGATGGTAATGACAGTAGCTTACAACAGCATTAATGAAAGTAATAATATTATAATAATATTACAGGCTATTTTGGTACAGTATGTTGAAAGTATATATTAATATCTGATAGTATACATTTGTGACAATAATCATCAATCAATCAATCAATTTTATTTATAAAGCCCAATATCACAAATCACAATTTGCCTCACAGGGCTTTACAGCATACGACATCCCTCTGTCCTTAGGACCCTCACAGTGGATAAGGAAAAACTCCCCAAAAAACCCTTTAACGGGGAAAAAAAAAAACGGTAGAAACCTCAGGACGAGCAACTGAGGAGGGATCCCTCTTCCAGGACGGACAGATGTGCAATGTGTATAATAACAGTAGAGGTATGACTAATGATAACAGCAGCAGCAGGAGGCATCTGGCAGGACCACAGCAGCAGCACAACCGAACACGTCACACTATCCAGGCACTGCTGCGATATAAGTTAACCTGCGAGACAGTGGAGCACAAAGGCTCCGGAGAAGAAGCCGAGTGACGTGAGGCATTACGTGGTATCGGACTGGTCATAGGCTGTACTCGCCAATACCCGATACTGATTTTAGGCAGTATCGGAGGCATTTCAGGTATGGTATTGGTACCAGTACAACTCTAACATCAAGATGCCGATTAAACAGCATCTTTACTAAACAGGTGTGCTATGGGGTGGTCACAATAAAAGGCCACTCTAAAATGGGCAGTTTGATCACACAACTTAATGACACAGATTTTGCAAGTTTTAAATGGAGCGTGCCGTTGGCATGTTGACTGCGGGAATGTCAAGCTGAGCTGTTGCCTGTGAACTGAATGTTCTTTTCAATATCTGACGCTGTGTTCAATGTCTCTGTGAATTTGGCAATACATCCAACAGACCTCAAAACCACAGACCACATATAGTCACACCAGCTCAGGACCTTCACATCTAGCAACTTCACCTCCAAGATCGTCTGAGAGCAGCCACCCAGACAGCTGATGTAATAATTTGTTTGCACAGCCAAAGAATTTCTGCACAAAACGTCAGAAACTGTCTCAGGGAACCTCATCTGCACGCTGGTCATCCTCACCAGTGCCTTGACCTGACAGCCGTTTGTCATTGTAACGTTGCAGTTGTTAGGCTGCTTGGATGTCCTGCCAAACCCAAGAAATGACATTGGATATGTCTGATGGTTGTGAAATGAACATTCAGTTCATGGGCAACAGCTCTGGGGGACATTTCCTGCATTCAGCATGCCAGTGGCCATTTTAGAGTTTAGAAGTTCTTTGAGTTACAGATACACCTCTCAGTTTAATGCAATACAGTGTAACACAACTGCAAACTGCAGCCAACAGCAAGTAGAAAGTTGAACCAACAGCTGTCTAAACAGTTTCAACACACACTGAACATTAGGACTTCCATAAAGGATGATCTTATTGTAGGACAGTTGTATTAGACTGTAGTAGTTTTAGCTGTACCTAATAAACTGGCAACTGAGTGTATATTTCCATATTTGAGTGATCATTTGTGTATTTTATACTGCGTATAACATCTTATTTTGGTGGTAATGTATTAGAAAGTTTGTGGTGCTTGTCTAACAATACAGACATATAGCAATGAGTATAAGGCAGAGGTACAATTTACACATCAACGATAACAGTATTCTTGCCTGGGTGTTGTCTTATATGTTAATGTTGAGATCAAATATGGAACATCCAGATCTCTTCGACTCTCATAATATTAACCACTTAGACTTTTAGAAAAGGGGTTTTTAAATGTAATATGTCAACATTTAGCCTAATCACTAAAAATCACCTGAACTCATCATCTGATGGGAAACAGTAGGCTATTGGCAGGTTTTTAATTCAGATGCACTGATCAATGTATAAATAACCAGTAGGACTGCATGTCTTGTTGGTGTTGTGGTTGTTTAATTAAAGTGACTCATGATAGTTCACACAAACACAGTCTGCCATGCATTAATACCTGACCTCAAGGAAGTGTTGCTCAGTCAGTGCTACTATTCAGTTTTTTCTCCTGTAGCTTAAAAAGGTTCCATCATGCTTATTTGTCTGCTGTTATCTATAAGTAAGAAGTGTGCTGTATAAGGCCTAAGCTGTGCAGCATTTGATTTGGACTGCCAGCTGCCAGGCATTGATTGACCACACATTGTTCTCCCCTTCCAGAGTGTTTGTCAACCGAAGCTTGGCCATGGAGAAGATTAAGTGTTTTGGTTTTGATATGGATTATACTCTGGCAGGTAAGTGCAGTCTGAGTCCTGTGGTATCAGCCTCGATAAACACATAAAGGTGTAGTAACTAATGCCTACACTGTCTCTGCATATAGACTCTGAAAGTACTGGAACTTATCTCACTGATACAGATTGGTATGTGAATAAGATCAGTAGGATACACTTCATACATCCCAATTTTTCAGCCTAATGTTTCCCACCCAATTTGTTTTATTCACAATGCAAGTCTTCACATATGTAGTCCTCGTGACTGGCAATATTTTCATGCCTCCACGCCAGCAACAGCCGTCGCCATATTGGCTGGTGCTATGGAGGAATGAGCGGTGGATCTGACTGAGAAGCTGAGGGCACTATCAGCAGGCAGCCTATCACTAAAAGTAGCCCGGCCTTAATTATGCGTAACTTTAAGCCTTAATAAAATGTAAATGGGCAAGTTACATAAAAATTCACCCTCCATACAGTTGTCATGAAGAGGGAAATTAACAATAGAAAAGCTGTTTTCTGTTCCAGGCTGTAAACTTGTTTCTGTTATAAAGTTTGGCATTTTAATATGGTGGTCTATGGAGATTGAGAGGCTTCTGGAGCCAGCCTCAAGTGGATGTTCAAGGAACTGCAGTTTTTGACACTTCTGTGTTGGCTAAATTTTTCAGCCCAGAGGTTGCCAATTGTTTCTACTGCATAGACAGCCCAATTTGTGGAAAGACCATCTTCCCAGCTGTGAAATATGTATTTAATTAGATAATATTTACAGGAAGTATTTTAAAAAACACCCACATCCCTTGTAAATGTAGAAATCCAACTTAATTGTGAGGCAATTACTTTATGCTTTGAAGGTGGGTTGTTGAGAAAAACTGACAATGACACTGAATGTTATTTGTGAAATTTTGAGTATTTTCTTACTGATCTGTTAATTATATTCATCCACCAAATGATGAGACACTCTTTCTGATGACAAAACACGTTTGAATCGTAGAACACAGAATTTGGAAAAAATGAAAAAACACAGAATTTAGGAAAAATAAAACACACACTATAAAAGGATTTTAGAGGGCTCCAGGCTATGAGTCATTGTCATCAAGCTTCTCCAATTGAGCATTTTGAAATTTACCAACGCCAAACGCTTTATAATCTCATGTGTTTAACTATTAATTTGGAGTCTGAAGCTTGCTAGCAACACTACAAAGCACTGTAGCGCTTAGGTTTTCTTTAAGTAGGGGTCCCAAACAAACGGCTCTGCGACCAGATCCAGCCTGTTAAACATTTTCATATGGCCTCCCAGTTCTTAAGAATTTAGTGTTACATGTTGCTTGCAGTTTTTTTCTTTTCTGTTTTTTCTTTCTGTTACTTCCAGTTGTTTTTTAAAATAAAGTTTACAGATAAGGACCATAATGCAACACGAGGCACCTACAACAAAAATATGTCAGCATGTGTTTAGAGTAATAACAGGAGTAATACCTAATTTCACGTTTTCTTCCTTATATGAATTAAAAAATGAGACCAAACTTGATATAAATTGCCTGGTTTTGTTTGTCTTTGTGATCAGATATTTTAAAGAAGCATAATTAACTTGAACTATTCATCAATCAGGCTGTTTCTGACTCCATGTCTCAGTGGCAGAGAACAATCCTGAAACAATTCCAAGTCTTACTTTTCTCTTCATTTAGCCTAAATTTTGAGTTCAGGATCGGAGTGAAAAATAGTGAGGGGACAGTCTTCTGCCCTGTTTACTGGAGCACCCACTGTAACCAAAGCTGCTCCTGTCCAGCTGTGTCTGAGGATATTCTTGGCCTGGAGACAGTCAAGACAGTATTTCCATACACCAAGGTAGGAGGAGGGGGTTGGGGTTCACATAGGGGTTATTATTGGCTGATATCAGTATGTGCCAATATTCATCATCATCAAACCATTTTTATGGCTCAGAAACAAATAACCAGTTTTCAGTGGTTATGTGCATGTGGACAGCTTTGACACATCTGCAGGGCTGTACAGAGACCATACAGACAATCCAACATCAAAAACTGCAGTTTCTTGAATGACCACTTGAGACTAGGTCCAGAAGCAAGTCAGTTGAGTTTTTAACATTCATGACAACTGTGGTGGGGTGAATTTTCATATAACTCACCCATTTACATTTTATTAAGGCTTAAAGTTATCAAGTTAAAGTCACGTCTCCCTTATGTTAGCTTCCAGTTGGAATTCCCTGTTGTGCTCAAAGTTAAAAAGGGGCACATGGAACAATATTAAAACCATTCAGCAACTTAATTTACAGCAAATCTTTGGAATTATTCCAGCCCATATTCAAACAGAAAGTAACATTGAATCTTACAACCCAATGCATAAAATTATGAATGTGTAATAATGTCCTTTGAGCTGGGTTTCCTTGTAAATTTCATAAAAGCTGTACAGTAATATCACATCAAATTTGACAAGAATATAGGCAGGAATTCTTTGAAAATTTAATTTAATATATAAAGGATTTTTTAATAACAGTTCAAATATAAGGAAGTAATGAAGGTGTTGTAATGAAATTTGAGCTGAAATCCCCTTTAAACTTCTCAAAAACTGTACAGTAAAACCATATGAACATTAAGTCATAGTCAGGGTAATCCGGAACAGGTTCAGCTAACCTGTGAAGGAAAGGTTTTTATAAATGGTCATATATGAATATTATTAAAATATTTTAACTTTGGAGCTCCCTTTTTCAAAATTAAAAAATTGTACAGTAAAATAACTTCAAAATGGATTTTCTTTAATGTGCAGTATTATGTTGTTTTACTTGATATATCGAATGTGAGAAATTATTGCTAGAATACAGGTCTTTCGTTGTCCTTTTTGGCCACTCAAAGCATCCGTAGCCTAACAACAGGCATCAAAATCCATGCAGCAGTTGGCTTGAAATGACGGCTCACTTGACCACAGCAAGAACCATTAGTCAGGACAACAATCAAACTTATGTCCCATAACTAATGCATCATTTAAAGATGATGCTGTGTAATGCTTATAGGATACATATAATGTCATAATCACACATGTGAAACACACCATCTAAACATTGCCACTTAGTGTCTGTCTGCGGTATCCTGGGTTGCAGCTGTAAACATAATGGAGGGCCCATCAAGGAGGCCGTCATGTGACAAACTGACTGATGGCAGCCATAGATGAATTATTATTAATTGCTAAATGTTCTTCTTGATAAGGGCCACTGGCAGGCCTTCACAAACAAACAAAAATAATGTCTTGACAAAAGGGAACTTTGGATTTCAAAGGGCAGATGCTTGAGCACCCTCAGCCTCCCTCTTTGCATGTGCCTGCACATCTGCCTTTCTGTCTGTCTAGTGTATAAATCTCCAGAGTATGAGTCACTTGGCTTTGACTTGACGGTGGAGCGCCTGGTGTCCATTGGATATCCACAAGAGCTGCTCAACTTTGTCTACGACCCCTCCTTCCCCACCAGGTTCGTTCTCAAAGCCCTGTCTTTTTGAAATCAGTTTGAATACCAGTGCAACAAATTCATACTCTCAAGTGGGCTTCCTGCTTCCATTATCTGACTGTTTGCCCTCCCTCCCCTGTGTCCATTCTTCTCAGAGGTCTGGTGTTTGACACGATGTATGGCAACCTGCTCAAAGTGGATGCATATGGGAACATCTTGGTGTGTGTGCACGGATTCAATTTCTTAAGGGGGTGAGGTCCACTGAACCCATTGGTCTGCCAACATAGTCCACCACATCTCTAAAAAAAAGCAGGCAGTTATCTGTATTGTCAGATCCTTCCTCTATCGCATCTACAACAGTGTTATTTAAATGAAACATAAAGAAGACTTGAAGTCGACAGCCATGCTGGCAGCCCTGTGAGGCGGTGCTTTAAGCTAGATGTTCCAAAAACAATCCCATGCAGATTTATTTATCAAGCACATTTAAAAATAGCATTTGACTAATGTGCTGTACAGTCACAAACAAACAAACAAAAACACACAAAAAAACACAACACAAACTCCAGTTAAGGGGGGGTTTAAACACCTGTAGTCGGGTGTATGTTGTTTGCACCAGAGGGAATGAATATATACTATAAGGAAAGTCTAAGTAAGGGATAATATGATGATATAATTGATTGATTGATTGATAATGTTGAGTTATTTTTCAACTGTCACTGGTTCACTATACATTATCCCGCTTAGAACATGGCTTACTACTAAAACATTCAGTGATGTGTCACAAAATAATGATTAAAGCATGTTATGGCCGTTGCTATGGTATCCCTAGCAACGGAGCAGCAGAGCAGTGGTGATACCTCAAGAAATAAACACCACAGAATTTTGTTGATTGACCAGTCAGAATGAAGTATTTAAGAGTGCCATGTTCTAAAGGTTAGGGTTAGTGATACTGCCTACCATTGTTCTATAGCCCGTACATGTGAGTGTGGCTTTACTGATGTGTAGATAAAAGATGTCTTGGCATCTGGCTTATAAGCAGCCATTAAGACATGAAAGTTACACAAGATGGAGGTTAATCAAGATCATTTGATAGACTGGATTTAAATTTGCTGAATAAGTATTTAACCATTGTTGGTGCTGTGGAGCAGTGTCTTCATCAGCAGATCCCTACAATGTTAGTACATCATGTTCTAATAGCACATGCACGTAACAAGTACAGTGGTGGCAGGATAGACATTTCAGACTACTGCAGAGGGAGCTACAAGAAATAAATTGTACTCTACAGTGTAACTCATGTACCCTGGTTTGACCTTCTTCAGCACTGGTAACCCTCATGTATGTTTGTATGTGTGCTCACTCTGCACAGACCTGACATCAGAGAGATGTATCCCAACAAATTTATTCAACGTGGTGACACAGAGCGCTTCTACATCCTCAACACACTCTTCAACCTGCCTGGTAAGAAAACACATCAACACAGTTTCATCCTCTGTTGGGAAAATGAAAACAAATAATATGACAAAAATAAGTAAAATAGCTGTAGCACTTAGATGCTGATTTGATATGTATTGCAATTTTTAAGTATTGTTATACTGCAGGTACTGCAATTTGATCTTAAGATTTATTGGGATTCTTGTTTACTTTTTAAGACTAGACCAAGACCACTGGAAAAAGTTAAATCATAGGCATCTAGAGACTGTTAGGGTTAGGGTTAGGGTCTCATATCATGAGACATATTACCAAAAACAGTGCACATCTAATGTCAGTCAGTCTTTGACTTTTATTTCAGCAGCATCATATAAGATGCTTACGCTTAATATTATACTGCTACATAAAAGATGCTATGAAATTAAATGCAATAAGAGTAATTATATAGGAAATAAGGCTGCCATCTGTTGCAGAAACTGGCAGATGGGCCTTTCGGGGAATATTTAATTTTCAGATTTTATTCCAGTGAAGCACTTTGTGACCTTGTCGACTTCAAGGTGCTCTATGAAATATACTTTATTTACTAACTTACCAAGATGACCATTACACGTACAATAGAATCAATGAAAAATAGTTTCTGAAGTGAACTTAAACAGCTTCATTAAGCTCTCCTTGCTAATTAAGCTTGCAGTGTTTCCCATACATTCATTTCTTTGTGGCAGCTGCCACAATATCAACATTGACCACCACTCATTGATTTGCTCCTTTTTTATAGTATTTAAGGGGCCGTACTTATGCCACGTCTTTAACCGCCTGGAAAACACAAGGTCAGGCACTGGGCGCTACTCTTGTGCCTTTTCGGTGCCAGGTTTCAAGAGTGCGGCGGCAAGTTGCATCTGAGGTTGCTAAGCAACCTCAACAAGCACTGTATCACAGCCTATTTACCTGAAATCCTGAGTGCAGAGCTGATGTTCTTCAATGCGCTGTTTGTGTTCATTGGACAAACGTAGCAACCCCTGCACTAAATTGATCAACTTCTCTTCTATATTTATCACAGACTGATATTTACAAAAAAAGGGAAAGATGTCTGTCCGCTGTGATTGGTTGGTCCTCGTCACATGACATGAGGTGTGCACTGCTGCATTCCAAAACTCGTGTAAATTAGGTGCTGGGGAACGTGTGTGCACCACAAGGACATTGCTCTTGCATTTGAACGTGCCTGCCGCATGTCTACATTGAAAATAATGAATTTGAGGGCACAAACACAGCATGTATGCGGCCCCTAAAACGGGTAAAATCTTATTCCATTGTAGAGCTGTGTGCAGCGCATTGATTCGCTCAGCCCCTCGCCCCGCTCTTGTGCTCTCTCTCTCTCTATCTTTTTTAGCAAATCACAAATAAGAAGAGGAAGGACTGTGGGAAGACTTGTTTGCCACCCTGCAGTCCCTTCCCTCCCTGCTGCCAGGAGACTATTTATCAGGGAGAGAGTGGGCAGAAACTCTGGGGATGGACTCAGTAGCAACTCGAATTCAGCCAGCGCAAACCTCAGTGCCATGGTTCACAGAGGGCTGGGTTTAATCTGTGTACCAGCAGCAACGGAGAGTTTTCTGATCTGGCGGAAGGTGTGCGCTGGGCTAAATTTCCACTGTTAAAGCCACAACTTCCTTCCCCCTTTACATTTGAATTAAATCCATTCGAAAAGTTTACAAAAGCATCATCAGGCAACATTCAGATGATAAAAAACTAAGTGCTGGAGTCTGCACACTAGAATGTGCTACCAAAAATATTTAATTATATTACTACTAAGGTGACATTTCATGAGACTGCAGAAGAAGACTTTCAATAATTATAAAGTGAATCAATGTTTTTCCCACTCCTAGTATCATAATTTCTTTTTCCTTTCACTGAAAGTGATTTTTTTATCATCTTAATTTGAGTTTTGTACTACTTAGTAAAAGTGTTAAATAAAATGATGTGTTCAGTTGTATATTGAAAAGACTTAAAGAAAAGAATGAACATTTGAACTAGAGTCCACTGACAAGGCTCTGAATGTGGTTACACTGTCTTCTGTTGACTTGATTTGTCAGATTGAATGCATGTTTATATTCAGGTTTACAGTCAGTCTCACTGATTCTAGTCTTATTTCCTCCTCCTCAGAAACCTACCTCTTTGCTTGCCTGGTGGATTTCTTTAGTAACTGCCCCAGATACACAAGGTACTGCATACTCACTAGAGGTCAACCAACAGTGGGTGTTTAAAGGCCAGTATAATAATTATATAGTATGGAGCAGGAAGAAGCCCATAGCCCATTAATCAGCCATTATCCAACCCTTAATGATTTTTTTTTTTTTTTTTTGACTTTATTAGATACTGACCTACTGTTGAACTGAACATCTAAATCAAAGTAATAGATACCTAGATAGATTAATAAGTCTGGATCACTGAAAGTCTAACTCTAAGTAATAAATACCTTAAATAGAAATAGAAATCTGAAACTAAACATCCAACCTATCGTAGTAAAAATAGGTGGGAGTGATTTTTATTTTTTTGAGCCATTATTTTTCCTTAAAGGTAAGGCATGATTTTCCGGTACACAATGACATTACCCTGGCTTCAAGTTTGGAACGTCCATGCAAAACAGTGACCAGTAGCCTAGAATGGATAAACCAAACACTGGCTAAAGATGAGGCCATTTGCATTTTCATGTCAGCCACAGTAGAAAGAAGCCCAAATGCAATGTGCAGCGCTGGAGTTGGGTTAGGGTTAACCAATGCCAAAGGGCACCAGAAATACATGGAAACTGCGTTATTCTGTGTTTTACCAGTTTAAATGACTGGGTCTGTTTGTTTTGGGGGAAAAAAGAGACCTCTACGGATAATTTGGCTCACAGTAAAAACCTCCTGAACATCTGTATCAGAAAAAGGTCACACGATAACTTATTAGAGAAAAGGTGTGAGCACACAATAGTATGTTGTGGGCAAGCCCCAAGATACTAAAAAGTGTCAGAGATGCATTGATCTGTGACGTGAGATTGCTTTATTCAGTGTTTTTAGTAATTCTGTTTGTTTTGGAGAAGAAGAGACCTCTGTGGACAATTCGGCTCCTGATTAAAAACTTCCTGAAAAATACATACTGAAGGAATTCCTGCCAGCTGAAGTATTTAGCTGGTTGCAATCTGCAATGCACTGCTAGACGCCACCAAATCCCCCTAAGTCATACACACTTCACCTTTAAATTCAGAAAGAGGTCTGTGAAAGATCCTAAGTCTACATATTAGATTCATGATGTGTTCTTAAATGGCAGAATTGTTTGCACCTGTTTGCGCGTGCCAGTTGATACCAATTTGCATGTAAATGCCCACAAGGGCATGAGACTGCAGAAGAAGACCTTTAATAATTCTAAAGTGGAGGTACCTCTGCAGGAATTAAACGCCAAACAAGCTATCATATTTAATAGCGTCAGTATAGGATATTGAATAACACAAAAAGATGCATGAGATGCTTAAAATACGCATTAATCAACCACCCGTACACAACCTGCAAACTTCATGCAATAAAGTGGCACAGTTTTCAGGACTATGGGCAGAAACAAGGTGTGTGTGTGTGTGTGTGTGTGTGTGTGTGTGTGTGTGTGTTTGACAGAGTGAGAGACAGAGAGAGGGGGGAGAGAAGGTGAAGGTCGACTATATAATGCAATGTTTCTTTAAGTTATTATTAACTTACTTGGGAGGGCAGCGTTGTCACTGTTTTTCCTGCCCTCCCGAACTGCCCGTGTTACTTTCTAGCGTGATCAATCACTAATTTAGTAGATTACATGGTTCCCAATAACATAATACTACATTCTGTAGTATTATACAACTGTAGAACTGATGAACAAAATATGTATAAGTGTGCTCTTCAGTGTGCATAGATTCTGTTCTTGCCGAAGAAGAAATACCAAATGAGAAAACACTTGTGAATACCAGAATCAAGTGGTTATTAAGAAGAAATTTTTCTGAAGAACAGATGGTGAATGAAGTCCAATGCTGTTTCAGAACTTTTGTATATTATCAATAACACAATTCTGGGGGAAACACTGAGTCCTTGTCATTTTTCACCCTCAGAATTTCATGCTATGTAGACTGTAGTGTTAACATGATATAATCTGTCTCTGTAGTTGTGAGGCTGGCTTCAAAGATGGCGACCTTTTCATGTCCTACAAGAGCATGTTCCAGGATGTCCGAGATGGTGTGGACTGGGTTCATTTCAAGGTAGAATCCTTTGTTTTCCAGTATAAAAGCTGTTTCCAGCCAGTCAATCCAGTCACAGGCCTCAGCCCACTCTTATTTGTTTTCACAGGGCTCCTTAAAAGAGAAAACGGTTGAAAACCTGGAGAAGTATGTGGTAAAGGATGTAAGTAAGCCAGCATAATAAAGACTGCTTTTACATAATCACCAACAACCAATACCAGCTTGAATTTGACTTTATAGTTAGGGTGACAAACAGTGCATTTTAGCTTAGTTTCATCTTTTAGCTGTTCAATTTTCTGCATCATTGAAGTTTGTTTTGTTCTTTTCTCCACCAAGCCGAAGCTTCCTCTCCTCCTCAGTCGTATGAACGAAGTAGCCAAAGTATTTCTGGCCACCAACAGCGATTACAAATACACAGAGGTGAGAGGAAGATTTACATTCAGATAAATGTTTAAAGCAAATCACAATCTGCTGTCTCATAATGTCATCAGCACAGATTCATTTTTACAGTTAAATGAATGGTTGCCTAATGAAGTTATGATACCAGGTGATGTTAATGATGGGGTATAGTTTCCTTTTTCCGTGCTGCTCTGATACAAGACGTTAAGATATACTCTCCTAAATTCAAGACTCCTTATTGATTAAAAAATAATAATTTCTTTAGAATAGCAATGTTATTAATTTATCGTTTAACTGTTAACCAAAAAAGGGGGTGAATGACTCGCAACACTGCAGGACTCTTTGCAGAAAAACAATATAATTTATTGCAGTTTATTACGGCGCAATAAATTATATTTTTTTTCTGCAAAGAGTCCTGCAGCGTTGCGAGTCATTCACCCTTTTTTCATCTACAACTATCGACTCAGCACCTGCCCTCCCACGGTGAGATGTGCGTGCCTTTTGTTTGATTTTTTGATCCTTAACTGTTAACCAACAATAAGAATTTTGACCAAATAATACTATTAGTTAAACAGTGTAATATATACATATATATGATCAAATATGATATATTCTGGCACTGCGAGGGGAGATGATGAAACAACAGAGCCTGCTGCTGCCCAGAATGGCATGGTATGACATTGCATGGGCAATGCCATAATGTTGCTCCTGGGAGACGACTACCGCACCCTCAACAAGCTCATGGCCTAGAGGCAAAGGTGGACACCTACATGAAAGACATTGGACCAGCACATTTTCTGTTGCTGTCATTACACAGAACAGTCAGCTCAATGTCTGCATAGTTAGCACTAGCTAATACAGCAGCAGTGGCTAATATCCGACATGGTCCCAACAAACTCACACAGACACCGAAGCAGCTCGAATGACGTTAAACCTGTTAGGTTTGTTAGCCACATGATGCTCATAGTTGGCCCTGTCACTGTGTGTGCAGGGCAGGCTGACTCCCTACGTCCCTGGCGCAGAGCTCATAATCCCACAGCAGTAGTGTCATGATAAACAGGGAGAGCAGGGAGAGGAGGCACTGAGGGAAGCCATATGCCTGCCATAGGTCTATAATGACTCCATTTAGCGATATTAACCACTTTTGGAGTAGGACATGAGGCATCAAAACATTATTCAGACTTAATAACACATCAGGGTCAAAAGACCTGGGAGGCCAACCTAAATCAGGCTTTTACTCAGTACGTTTACATGACACTAGAGAAAATGGATTTATTGTGTTAGTCCGACCAAAATTGAACTTTTGAAATACATGTAAACATGTTAGTCTGACTGAAATCGTACTAAATTGAATTTCTCAAATTTCTTGGACAAACACACCCAGATAATGCGATTGGGAGTTTACTTTCTCCTGCATGTATTCAGTCAATCAGAGCCAAACTGGCCAAGGTGCTCTGCGTGTGCTCCACAGTTTCCGTCCCAGGCTTTGACCCGGAAGTCGAATAGCATTAAATGCGTAACAGAAGAGTAACAGAAGAGAAGAAAAAGGAAAAGTAAAGCATGCAGCATGTACACAATGTACAGAGCTGTAAAGTTGTCCACCGTGGTACCAGTTTGCTGCTAGCTAACTGTAGTTATCTTATTTTTTCAGATTGTTTGGTCTCTGATGTAATAGGTCAACCTTAAAAAGGTCCAATGCTAACAAGCTGAAAGGGGACAAAATCACCACCTATCTTAGTGGAGTCGGACATACAATAAATTGACTCTATCATTTCTTGTATGATTACTTGTCCAGCACTTAGTTTTTTATCATCTGGATGTTGCCTAATGATTCCCCTCCCATGCTTGTATACTGGGACAAGGACAGTAGTCCAAGTAAATAGCCTAGTTGAGTTATAACCGTAGCTCCAATTAATTGTGCATGTAAACGTACTAACTGACAGAATGGAAACTAAAACTGCATTTTGAGCCACAGTTCCCAGAACTTTTATACCTAAGGACAACTTTTCAAGGAACTAAAAAGTTCCAGCCCATTGTTATTAGCATTTCCACTGCACATAAGGCAAATGGGTCCACTGCTATATAAAAAAGCTACATGATAGGATGAGGGCTGAACAAATAGTACTGATGCAAGTTGAATGTAATGATTGACATGCAGAGGGAGAAAATGAAATTAAGTGTCTGTATCCACAGTAAATTATCTGTTGAGTGTTGTTTATTTATGCTGTAGAATGTAACCACTGTGAAAAGATGTTTTAGTTCCCTCTTTCGCTGGCTGTCTCACAGCACCACAGTTTTGTCTCTCAGTTGCTTTCCCGTGGCACAATACCTCTCTCTGTTTCCCTGTTTTTTTTTATAAGTAAGGAATAAGGCAGGAAGCTGACAACTAAGCCTGACTTCGCTTGGACTGTTCTAAAAAAGAGAGAAATTTTTTCCAGTCTTCCTAAATTGGTGCTAAACTGTTACTAGAGTACTTCGTTATTTTATGAAGAAAGCGGTAAATGAGTTGTTGAAGCAGCAGCGCTGTGTGTGTTTGACCACTCAGTGACGGTCATCCTGCAAACCCCATCCCAAAAGATCCTGTACTTCCAGTACTACCCCTAGGTCAGGAATCAAGAATGTCCCCTGAGTTTAACCTTGGACCTTGGTCCCTCGGGTCAGAAAGCAGTGAATTTGATAAAAGGTTCCTACTCCCTGGGGAAAGTTTCTTGAGGCAAAAAGGGGCTTAATTTTATGTAATTAAAAAAAAGTTGCATAAATTCTGAAGTATAATTTAAGATACTTAAAAGAGCACATTTGACTCTGACAAGATTGCAGGGAGTTAAACTTACAGATAATCAGACTTGCTGGAGTTGTAGGGTTGATCACTGGTACACTTATTCATTTCTTATGGGAATGTCCCATAGTGTAGGCTTTATGGTATGCTATTCATTTAAATATAAGGCAGATCACAGGCCAAGATATTCCTTAATCACCTGCTCTATATGTTTTGTGGGATCCATTACTGCTAAGAAATCTTCCTACGTCTGGAGCCGACTGGGCTCACACAGCAATTATGTTTGGTAGGAAGATTGTTGTTTAAGAGTAGAAACCTGTTGATTTGCGTCCAGCGTGTGTATGGTTCTCTCAGCTTGGAATTGTAGCATCCTAAAAGAAACTGTCTACTAAGATTAACAAGAAAAGCCCTTGAAACCTTTTGCTATCAGGGAACAGCCCTTTTACTCACAATTTATTTGTATTAAAACACTGAAAATGCTTCACATTCCTATAACCCCAAACCCATGCTGACATTATAAATACCTCCTCCATACGTGTAATTATTTATTTTTGCACCATTATTTTGTTGTGTGTGTTTGTGTGTCAGAGGGTCAAATGAGGATAAGGCCATTTCTGCAGTCTACTGGATTTTATTATTATAACAGTTATTAGTTTTATTGAAGTACTTTTCTCAGTTATTTCACAATGGCCCAATTTTCTGGTTGTTATGTCTGTTTAAAAAAATCTAATCTTGAAATAAACTCTTCTGTCTTCCTACAGAAAATTATGACCTACCTGTTTGACTTTCCTCATGGCCCAAAGGTAACACCGATGATTTAATAACATTTGTATACATTTGTCAACAGATATGATGTGATGATGAGAAAAATAAGAAACAAAATATCACATATATCATCCATGAGAAAAGGTGTCTGTAGATATGATATGATAAATGGTAAATGGACTGCACTTGTATAGCGCTTTTCTAGTCTTCCAACCATTCATTTCCAACCAGCACTTTTACACTACATTTCTTATTCACCCATTCACACACACAGTCACTCACTGGTTTTGCAAGGCTACCATACAAGGTGCCACCTGCTACTAAGTAACCATTCACACGCCGATGGAACAGCCATTTGGAGTAATTCGGGGTTCAGTATCTTGCCCAAGTATACTTTGACAGGCGGGACGGAGGAGCCGGGGATCAAACCGCCAATCTTCCGATTAGTGGACGACTGGCTCTACCTCTGAGCCCCAGCTGCCTCTGATACTGTTCATCCATCCATTCAATTTCCATAACTGCTTATCCTGTTGGAGGTCAGGGGGTGGCTGGAGCCTATCTGGCTAGAGCTGACATTGGTCGAGAGGCAGGCTACACCCTGGACAAGTCGCCAGACTATCGCAGGGCTAACACATAGAGACAGACAACCATTCACACTCACATTCACACCTATGGGCAACTTAGAGTCTTATACTAACTTAGAGACTAACCTGCATGTCTTTGGACTATGGGAGGAAGCTGGAGTCCCCGGAGAAAACCCACGTGGACATGGGAAGAACATGCAAACTCCGCGCAGAAAGGTCCCTCCACCCTGGGTTCAAACCAGGGTGCATCGTTGCCTCCTACTGGTTAGGCAACAATGCTAAAAAGAAAAAATGAAAAAATGAGGGAAGCCACTGTGAAGCAAAGAACACATCCTTTAATGGCTCAGATCTGCCTTAAAGGGATAGTGCACCCAAAAGTGAAAATTCAGCCATTATTTACTCACCCATATGCCGACGGAGGCCCTGGTGAAGTTTTAAGCCTGATTTATGGTCCTGTGGCGTACCTACGTCGTTGCTGTGACGCCGTAGTGAACTCTTCGAACTTCTCCGTCACTCCATTTCGTCGCGGTGCAATTCACTGCCAGAGCGGTAGGTGGCTGCGTTCCTTTCCTGAATGGTTATCGACGTCTCTAGTTGATTCTTTGTTTAGCTTCTGGCTTTTCCGGTCACAGAGAAATGAACGCGGAGCACGGACAGACGGCTCCGTCCGTATCCGTATCCGTATTGAACGTTGAGCATAAATGGGCCTTAATACTGCAACATCTACATCGCAACAGAAGATGTTTGAAGATGGCGGGGATGGCGCAATCTGGAAATACGGAACCGGAAATGCGTTGCTACCAAGCAAACCAATCACAGCCCTCTCAGTCTGCGCTGGGTCTGCGTCGCCTCGACGTGTAGTTACATTTTTGGGGAGGTGCATGTCAGGCTACGCCTGGGGCTACGGCAAGCCTTCTGCGTAGCCACGTACCCTAAGATGTAGCGACGTCGTTGATTTAACGCAGGACCATAAATCAAGCTTTAGAGTGCTCACATCCCTTGCGGAGATCAGCGGGCGGAGCGGATAGCATGCGTAATGGCAGACGGCGCCCCAGACTAACGTCCAAGAACAGAAAATTGAATCCACAAAATATCTCCATACTGCTCATCCAAAGTGATCCAAGTGTGCTGCAGCCGCGACATAAAAAGCTGTTTCGAAAAACGTCATATGAACTCTGTTTTTAGCCTCACTGTAGCCTGTAGCTCTGACTGCTTCTCTGTGCTCTGCGTTCACGTGTGCGCGCTCAGGGTGATCGGTGATGCACGGTCTCTGAAGAGCAGCAGTCTCGTCAGTACTGATGTCCAGATTCTCAAGTGCAGGCATCGCCAATTCCCAGTCTGAGCAGCAAAGACTTTCCTCATCCATTGACATTGCTTTGCATTTGAAACAACTACACCACCAGGTTTCCAGTGCTCGACTCCGGTATTCAGCGGCTGGCTGAGACCAGCGAAAGCATGAGCTTTGCTCACCCGTGTTTACATCACGTGACACGTGCACCGCAGGGAGAGACAACGGTAGCCACAGTCGCTAAAAGATAATTTGCACTACGGTCTTTTAGCAAAGGACAGCCCAACATGTCTGAAGACTTTGCAATTGAGGAGGAACAGCATTTCTTTGTTGAGCCGTATTTCTTTCAGCCCGAGTATATGGACGGAACTCAGGCTACTGGACGAAGCAGCTGCCGCAGCTCATGAGCCTCAGCCAGCCGCTGAATACCGGAGTCGAGCACTGGAAACCTGGTGGTGTAGTTGTTTCAAATGCAAAGCAATGCCAATGGATGAGGAAAGTCTTTGCTGCTCAGACTGGGAATTGGCAATGCCTGCACTTGAGAATCTGGACATCAGTACTGACGAGACTGCTGCTCTTCAGAGACCGTGCATCACCGATCACCCTGAGCGCACACACGTGAACGCGGAGCACAGAGAAGCAGTCAGAGCTACAGGCTACAGTGAGGCTAAAAACAGAGTTCATATGACGTTTTTCGAAACAACTTTTTATGTCGCGGCTACAGAACACTTGGATCACTATGGATGAACAGTATGGAGATACTTTGTGGATTCAATTTTGTGTTCTTGGACGTTAGTCTGGGGCGCCGTCTGCCATTAGGTGTGCTGCCCGTTCCCCCCGTCGATCTCCGCAATGGATGTGAGGACTCTAAAACTTCACCAGGGCCTCCGTCGGCATATGGGTGAGTAGATAATGGCTGAATTTTCATTTTTGGGTGCACTATCTCTTTAAACAGCGTTAGGCAGGCCAAAAACAACAACCACCACCTTGCCGCCCCCTGATACTGTACTGTACTAACAGGATTTACTTCAAAAGCATTGAAATTTGAAATTACAAATGGTGTGTGTGTGTGTGTGTGTGTGTGTGTGTGTGTGTTTGTTTATTGCAGCCGGGTACACCCCACCGGCCTTGGAAGTCCTACTTTGACCTGATCCTGGTGGATGCCCGCAAGCCTGTGTTCTTTGGAGAAGGAACAGTGCTGCGGCAAGTCGACACTGTGAGTTTGCACTATAGAAGCCTTCACTGACCAAACACCATACTAACACCATTACTAAAATATCATTTGTAAATTACAATTGGGCCAAGCTATTGGGCCACATTTTTGCTGTATGAAGAAGATAAATACATACTGTATACGAGTGTGTGACTCACACTTGGTTTCTTTCAGACTACAGGTCGGCTGAAGATTGGCACATACACGGGACCTCTTCAGCATGGTATTGTTTACTCTGGAGGTAAATAATGAGCTTTCTTAAAACAGCTGGTCATTTTTATGCCTCTGGGCAAGCAATAGTCGTGGCTGAAGGCATCATGTTTTTGGGTTGTCCATACATCTGTACATCTGTTCATCTGTCCCGTTCTCCTGAGCACAGTATCTCATGAACACAAACAAATTTCTTCAGATTTGGGACAAATGTCCACTTGGACTCAACAATGAACTGATTCAATTTTTGTGGTCAAAGGTTAGGCTCATTGTGACCTTGTGGCCATTTCATTCTCATCAACGCAATATCTGCAGAAGGCCTTGAAAGAATTTCCTCAAATTTGGCACAAATGTCCACTTGGTCCACTTTGGTGTTCAAGGGTCACTGTGACCTCAAATAACACGTATTTGACCATAACTCAAGAATTCATTTGCTGGTTACAAAATTTTACACAAATATCTATTAGGATAAAATGATTACAATTTATATCAAAAGGTCAAAGGTCAGTTTCAATGTGACATCCTAATGTTTTGCATGAAACTCTTTTCTTGCCAGTACTTAACATCATATCTCAGGAACACAGGAACAGAAGGGGATACATTTGGTCAGATACTGAATGGGTGATTCTAATCTTGGGTGTCCACCTTGAAACTGTGCTGATTGTATAGATCCTCTGTGCTGCCAGGGGGAACATGCGTATGAAGCATCCATGTTTTAGAATTTGTAGCTTCTTTGATGCAGCATACATATTTGAAGCATTTTCAGTTGTCATGGCTACATATGAATCTGGATAGACATGGATGTAAACTATAACAGCAGTTTGACTGGTTCGTGGAGGAATACAACCGTGAGGTGGTAATTCTAGTTTTTTCTGATCATTTCTCACTTTAAAGTAGCAGATTATGATTTATACCTTGTTTAACCCATTCATTACAGTACGTGGCTTTAAGCCCAGTTCTAACAGTTGTACACAGATTAAACTAACTGAATTTCCTGATGCTGATAAAGGTTTGTATACATCTAACCTATATTACTTTTGCACTTTTGATCAGCTAAGAAATACAAAAGTAGTCACATATAGATGTTGTATCTGTTTATTTTAGATGGTCCAGAGTGCTGACTTGGGTCCTTAAAATGATAGTAATAGATTCGGGACTGAGCCTAAAGAAACCAAAAGTAAACACTCCATGAATCACTTCCTTGTGCAGTACAGGAATAGAAGACCTGGGGCCTCATGTACAAAGACTTGGGTGGATTTCCTATTGAAACATGGCGTACGCTTAAATCCAGAAAACGTTGTACACACTAAAACATCCACATGTATGAATCTGTGCGTACGCATGAATCCAAGCACATTTCCTTTGTACATCCCAATCAACGTGGAATTGAGCGCACATGTTGAAGTACCAGACCCCTACCTGTCCACTCCCCCATTTAAATAAGCAAATCATATTTAAATTGGCCCTGCACCTGAGATTCCCCTCTCTGCACGATCAGAAAACTAAAACAAAAGAATGAGACGCTACGCACTGAAGTGGAGGTGCACAAAAATGTACTTTTTGACACGCTGTCCTCTGGCATCAACACTAAACCCAAGAGGAGTGAGTGGGAGAGTGTGTGTGAGGCTGTCAATGCTGGGGGGCAGAAAAGCGTACACACGCAGAATAAAAAAGAAGTCTGACATTAAGGTGGACATGAAGCGGAGGACAGCTGCCCACCGCCAAAGTGTGGCCAAAACAGGCGGTTTGAAATAAATCTTTTGAATTTGAATTTAAACATGCCAGTATATCAAAGGTGTGTTAATTGTTCATGTGTCTCTGATGTGCACATCACTCTGAGGACTAATTGTTTTCACATTTATTTATCATAACAGTTTCCCAGCATCACATCTAAGTGTCACCAAAGGATCAACAGCGGTAGAAACGTGCGCACGCCAGCCATGAAGCTGGCATGAGGCACCGCACATTTCCACGGCCATTTCACTCTTGATACATCTGAACTTTGCCGTGGAAAAGAACCCTTTGTACATGAAGCCCTTGATGTGCTGACTCACACAATGAGTTGTTAAACTGGAGTGTGGGCAGCATTACAGTACAGGCCAAAAGTTTGGACACACCTTCTCATTCAATGCGTTTTCTTTATTTTCATGAATATTTACATTGTAGATTCTCACTGAAGGCATCAAAACTATGAATGAACACATGTGGAGTTATGTACTTAACAAAAAAAGGTAAAATAACTGAAAACATGTTTTATATTCTAGTTTCTTCAAAATAGCCACCCTTTGCTCTGATTACTGCTTTGCACACTCTTGGCATTCTCTCCATGAGCTTCAAGAGGTAGTCACCTGAAATGGTTTCCACTTCACAGGTGTGCCTTATCAGGGTTAATTAGTGGAATTTCTTGCTTTATCAATGGGGTTGGGACCATCAGTTGTGTTGTACAGAAGTCAGGTTAATACACAGCCGACAGCCCTATTGGACAACTGTTAAAATTCATATTATGGCAAGAACCAATCAGCTAACTAAAGAAAAACCAGTGGCCATCATTACTTTAAGAAATGAAGGTCAGTCAGTCCGGAAAATTGCAAAAACTTTAAATGTGTCCCCAAGTGGAGTCGCAAAAACCATCAAGCGCTACAACGAAACTGGCACACATGAGGACCGACCCAGGAAAGGAAGACCAAGAGTCACCTCTGCTTCTGAGGATAAGTTCATCCGAGTCACCAGCCTCAGAAATAGCAAGTTAACAGCAGCTCAGATCAGAGACCAGATGAATGCCACACAGAGTTCTAGCAGCAGACCCATCTCTAGAACAACTGTTAAGAGGAGACTGCGCCAATCAGGCCTTCATGGTCAAATAGCTGCTAGGAAACCACTGCTAAGGAGAGGCAACAAGCAGAAGAGATTTGTTTGGGCCAAGAAACACAAGGAATGGACATTAGACCAGTGGAAATCTGTGCTTTGGTCTGATGAGTCCAAATTTGAGATCTTTGGTTCCAACCGCCGTGTCTTTGTGAGACGCAGAAAAGGTGAACGGATGGATTCCACATGCCTGGTTCCCACTGTGAAGCATGGAGGAGGAGGTGTGATGGTGTGGGGGTGTTTTGCTGGTGACACTGTTGGGGATTTATTCAAAATTGAAGGCACACTGAACCAGCATGGCTACCACAGCATCCTGCAGCGACATGCCATCCCATCCGGTTTGCGTTTAGTTGGACCATCATTTATTTTTCAACAGGACAATGACCCCAAACACACCTCCAGGCTGTGTAAGGGCTATTTGACCAAGAAGGAGAGTGATGGAGTGCTGCGGCAGATGACCTGGCCTCCACAGTCACCGGACCTGAACCCAATCGAGATGGTTTGGGGTGAGCTGGACCGCAGAGTGAAGGCAAAGGGGCCAACAAGTGCTAAACACCTCTGGGAACTCCTTCAAGACTGTTGGAAAACCATTTCAGGTGACTACCTCTTGAAGCTCATGGAGAGAATGCCAAGAGTGTGCAAAGCAGTAATCAGAGCAAAGGGTGGCTATTTTGAAGAAACTAGAATATAAAACATGTTTTCAGTTATTTGACCTTTTTTTGTTAAGTACATAACTCCACATGTGTTCATTCATAGTTTTGATGCCTTCAGTGAGAATCTACAATGTAAATAGTCATGAAAATAAAGAAAACGCATTGAATGAGAAGGTGTGTCCAAACTTTTGGCCTGTACTGTAGTACCACAGACCTGTAATGTAACACTTGCATCTCAGCTATAATTGCAGCTTTATTGGTTATTGCTTCAAGGGGTTTTTATAGTGTGGGTAAAACTTAAAAATGCCATATTTGTACTTCAGGTTCTTCAGACATTGTGTGTGACTTATTGGGCGCTAAAGGAAAGGACATCATCTACATTGGAGACCACATTTTTGGGGACATCCTCAAATCCAAGAAGCGCCAGGGCTGGAGGACTTTCCTGGTGATACCTGAGCTGGCCCAGGAGCTGCATGTTTGGACTGACAAGAGCTGTGAGACTGGACACAAACACACCCATGCACACATGCACATATAGCTTTCTAACTACTGCTTTAAATTAAACACTGTTATTTAGCAGTAACAAAATGTAAAAGAGCTGTTATGATCAGGCTTCATTAGAAATTGAGTTATTAAACTTTTAATAGTGACATTAACAGCACTCCAATACACTACCATTCATGGCAGAAAATGTGACTGTTTTCTGCTGATTTTCAGTGGTCTGTATTTCGCAAGGTATAACCAAATGGAACAGTCTGACCATGAATAATTCACTGAAGATCAGATCAGTGCAAGACCCACAAATGAAAGTTGAGACTTTAAAAACAGACATTCCTCTAACAGCTGCTGTAGATCATTGTTTGCATGTTCCTGTTAAAACTGATCTAAAATAAATACCAGAATAGAAAGAGCATTCATTGTTTTGGCAGCAGAGAGCTAAGGCTTCTGTCCTCTCCGTCATTACGTCATGACCTTACATTACCATGTACCTTGGAGCAGAGTTTTTATTTTTGTATAATCTGATGAAAGAGATGTCAGATTTTTGTGTTTTGTTTTGTTTTTGGGTTTTTTTGTAAATGACACCATTTTAATACTTAATCATTTTTATGGTTTACATGTGCAGATTGTAGGAACATGAATCATTTGAAGATACTCCAAGAAATGACATCACAATAAGCAAAAATACAAATGTAGGCACTGGCAGACCATTTCTGTTGCGAGTTCAAAGGGTTACAAGTCTATTAAAAATGCTGTCTCATTCTGAGAAGGTCTGGTTATTAAAGATTAAAATCATTCTAAATGCACTAATGCAAGTTGTTGTTTTTCAGCCATATTTGAGGAACTTCAGTCTCTGGACTGCTTCCTCGCAGAGCTTTACAAGTGAGTATAAGGCCCAGATCATCTGCAAAACGCGAGGCGCACCACACTGCCTTTTTTTCATCTTAATTGAATGCCACTAGTAAAAACCAAAAATGTTTGCTGTGCTTTTTTACTGCTGCCAGGCAACCACCCCATATCCCCCTTACCCCAACTTTCCTGTGTAATCAATCTACCGTTTAGTATAATTACTGAATTACTAAAGTGGACAGGCAGAGGGTACTTGCTGTAGCTCTGGTTTAGGGTTTGTTGGGCACAGGGAAACAGATCTGTGCGGGTACATGAGACCCTAAAAAAGAGGGTGGATCACAAGGAGTCCCACCAGCTGGTCCAAGAGCTTCTCCTCCATGATGGCCATTTCCAGGCATGGTTAGGATGAATCAGGGGCAGTTTGACAACCTGCTGTCTATCATCGGGCCCAGCATATGTCCATTTGTCCTGCTTGGCAACTGAGCACCACCAGTTTCTCCTCGATTGTTTATAAGTTGTAAACTTGTTGTCGTTTTTTCAACAGAAGTAATTCAGAGCGCTCTGGCAAAAACTCCATGCGCCTAGTGTGCAGAAATGCGAGGCACGTAGCAACACAAATAGTGAGAAAAAAAGCTTAATTCACATGAAAAACATTACAAAAAGCTGCCTCCAGCTGCTGAAACGCTTTCTGTGTGATTGCGGCCTTAATCAATTTTTTTTGTGTCTTGAGATGTTTTCTTTAAAAAAATCTTACTGCACATTTCAGAGATTCTGGTGGGGAAAGAAGAAATTACAGAAATTAGTACCTGACATAAAGGTTTAAGTGAACACTCATTCGGGTTCACACCATTAAAAAATCATAACAATTGTATTTCTCTCTGTTTAAATAGTCTGTGCTTTGCAAGTTTAAGTTAATAAGTCAACGGTGTGGTAGGATTGCCTGTGCACACAATGACTCATAGATATGCTGAATGTTGCATACTAAGTAAATGAGTGTGAATAAGTGTCAGTTTTCACTTCAGTGTATGGAACTGACCTGGGCTGTATGATTTCTGTTTACAGAAAGGGTAAAAATTGGCAGCATGTCATTTAACCTTCCCTTACACTTACTTACACTCACACTTGTGTATTGTCCTCAGGCATCTGGACAGCAGCAGCAATGAGAGGCCTGACATCAGCTCACTGCAGAGACGCATTAAGGTACAGCACCTTCCTGTCTCTGACTTAAACAGAGCTCCACTAAAGTAGAGTCCACCAGAAGTCAACCAGTATGAAATGTTGAAAAATAATCATTTAAAAGCTTAAGTTGCTGATAGTGACAATATTTGTACTATGACTTTGGACATCTTGTAGGATGACCATCATCAGCATATACATTACCCCACAGTTATCATTGCATGTTTGTATGTAACCAAAAAAAGAGATTAAGAAATAATTAATTTAAGAATTGTTGACTTATAATTATAGAATAGTTGATATATAGTTATAGAATAAGCATATAAATGTGTTATAGATTCTACTGATTATTTTACAACAAAAGAAGAAATAAACATGAATGAGATGGATTTGCCTTTTTCGAGGGCATATATAGCAAATGACACTGTTTTTAATTAATGACAGTTCTTTGAACACAGACATATTTTCAAGGTGGCAATCACACATAAAGGGTCTCTCCACCCCACACATTCTTGGAGGGCCCACTCTCTCTATGGGTCCCCCCACCTCATGGGCCCCAGGTCAACCGCACTGCCTGCACTGTTTTTATTTATGTTTCCTGGTTTCAGTCAAAGTTGAATTTCCCAGCTGAAATTTCTATTTTTCAACCTCCAGGTGTTCCAGAGGGCTGTACCACCAAATGAGATTAGAGGGTTATTAGGGTTATGCTGCGGTTAAATTCAATAAACCAGAGAAAGCTTGAGCAGGGGACTAAGCTAGACGATAGTCAGTTGACAGCATAAGAAGAGCACATACTTAACCAACCACAGCAGACAGCACAGTCAAGCAGAGACAAGTAAATATACTCAGCCTAATTCCAGCAGTCTTGAATTGAGTTGCCACAATAAAATTCAGTACAGTATTATTTACCCCATTAAAGGGCCAGTGTGTAATATTTGGCATGGTTTATTGTCAAATCTGAATCTGAATCTGAATATTCTACCCATTAATATGTTTATATAAGTGTATAATCGCTATAAAATAAAATTCGTTTGGTTTTCGTAGCCTTATAATTATGCTTTTATATATATATAGCAAGGGCTTTGCTTTAGAGAGGTCGCCATCTTGCGCCGCCATGTATGTACGGCAGACCGAGCGGACAATCCAGCCAGCCAGAGAACGCGTTTCGCGTGTATAAATAAACCAACGAAGACAGCAGAAGGAAGGAAGAAGGAGGAGGAAACAGCAGAGAGTGTTAGTAGTTCGTCGATAGAGAGTAGTGAAAAGTTTTTTTAGTTATAAAGTTTGCGAATGGACCACACTTACCATGCAACAGGAGAGAATGAACCCGAACCGTCATCTGCGAGGAAAAGAAGACGCAACTTCACTCCTTGTGATGCACTCTCTGCGGCGATTTCCCTCCTGGTGATATATCTCTCAAACGATGGTAGCAGTAGCACCGAATCCCATTCTGTGCATTCAGCCTCTCTTCTCACCCGCTCAGCATCAAACACATGGAGTTCCTCATCTGTATGCTCCGGCTCAAACAGGTATGGCTCTGGGTCTGTGTCTGCTACAAGAAACTCTTCAAAATCATGTTCAAAGTCGTCCATTGCAGCTACTATAGTCCGGAGATATTGCTAGGCTAAATAAACAGCTGAGCTCTGTTTACAGGATACGCTGTCAGTCAGTGTGAGGGCTGGAGATTGGTGGAGCAGAGAGGGGAGGGGGTCCCCACTTAGAATGGTAAACGAGTATGTGTGTATAGAGTGTGTGTGTTACGCTAGAAGAGTCAGAGTTTGGGACGGAGTGTTTTACCCCCTGGAGTGTTACCGGAGTTTCTGGAGTGCTCAAATAAACGGGCCTTTTTCCCGAACGCTCCCCTGGTCTCCTGCTCGTGAGGGATTCATTACAATATCGTAACATGGTTTAGATTTCTAAATAAACATTCACCTCGTCACTAGATAGACCTACTCCTGAAAAACTCATGCGCAAGGCTTTTTGTCCCTACGAGGCCACCATCATTTACCCGACGGGAGAGGTGAGCGAGTGAGCCCTGCAATCTAGAATTTGACCACTGATGTCACTGTTTTCAACCCATTTTACACACTGGCCCTTTAAGGGCTATGGTATGAGCATATGACCTAAGAGGTTCCACTCACAGTAAAAGATTTTTCCTGCTGTCTGCTGCCAAAAAGACAAATCATGGCTGGCAAAATCCTCAGGATTGCAGAAACATATCAGACATGTCTCTGTTTCCACTCCAGAAAGTGACCCATGACATGGACATGTGCTATGGCATGATGGGGAGTCTGTTTCGCAGCGGATCCCGTCAGACGCTGTTTGCCTCTCAAGTGATGCGCTACGCTGACCTGTATGCAGCTTCCTTCATCAACCTGCTTTACTACCCCTTCAGCTATCTGTTCAGAGCTGCTCATGTGCTGGTGAGGTTCACTCAGAGTTCTTGTCTCCTGTACTTTAAGTACTTGTGATTTGTAGCATCACATTTCAAATTCTCCCTCCTAGATGCCTCATGAGTCAACAGTGGAGCACACCCACGTTAATATCATCGACACAGAGTCACCACTGGCCACACGAAACCGCCACGACGTTGATCTCAAGGAGATGGAGTGCAAACGACACCAGCTGACTCGATCCATCAGCGAGATCCAGCCCCCCCACTTCTTCCCTCAGGCTCCACAGGAGATCACCCACTGCCATGACGAGGATGATGATGAGGAGGAAGAGGAGTAGACAAAGGGAGAAGAGCAGAGGAGTCTGCAGATGAAGCTCGCTGTCACATCTAGTACATCCTGTTTTCATGTTTAAGTTGATCTTTGAGCCTGGTTGGTGAAGAACAGGTACACTGAGTTGACGGTTTGTGATATGGACTACTGCAAGTTCCAGCAGGCTTGCTACTTCCCTGGTAGCTGTACCTGAAAGTTAGTTTAGATTCATGTAACTGTTATTATAAGATTAAAGCAGTAGGGTGGTTAAGTTGAAGTGTGTTGTTAGATCCTCGTGGCTCTGCCAGGTTTGTGTAAGGACGAATTTTCTGCTTTTATCCAGGTTATTAGGAGTCCAGGATGCATCCAGCTCACTGCCATGCTGCTTACTCCTGCATCATAGCTCTCGCTTTAATACATGCAAAACACTGAGGTTAAGAGGTTAACCTTAACCTGTCTTTAAGGAGCTATCCACCAATCCCTCTAGAATGTTGCAATCGCAACAATTAACACAAATTCAGCCAATCCCCAGGAATTCTGTGCGACCTTGCAATTTTGTCCAGTCACAGTAACTTAACCGCAAATTTGACTATTTAAAACAGGAAACATTTTATTATATTATAGAGCTGAGTGCAGCGTGTTGATTTGCTCCGCATTTATGATTAGACTACTGCTGCAGGACTGGAGCTCTGCGCCTGGAACGAAGTCACACACACAGTGACAGGGCTAATGTTACCCAACAGTTATTAACAGGTTTAACAACAGAGTCGAGCCATTTCGTTGTTGATGTGTGTTTAACAGCTCTGTGTCAGACATTAACTGCTGCTGTGAGACTTTGGCCCAAGTGGCAAAGTATGACAAGTAGAGATTAGATCACTTTGTGCTGTTCAATGGCGATCAGCTTTTGCTGTCATCCCTTTGCCATGAATCCTGGCTAGACTTCTATCCACCATAAACCTCAGAACCACTGTTGTGACAGCCATGTCAGTCACAGACTTTGCATTTTTGGGACCATATTGTTTTTGAGGTGTAATTTTTTTCCACTGCCAAAGAATACTGGCCAAATGTAGAGATGTGATGGTGAGGTATTTGAGCGCAGCTAGAAGGAGAAATAAATATTTTTAACATCCACAATAAATACCAGCTGGTGTGAAAAACATGTTTTTTCACCTGCAGTAGCCTCAACAGATCCGCTGTTTGGATCATCCTGTGTTACTGACTTGCCTCTGTGTTGACAAGCAACAGCCTTTCATCCCCTTGTTTTGTTTTTGATTTGTTTAGGTTTTTATTTTTTTATTTTTTTTTAATAAATTATAGGAAATGAAGGGATTAAAAGCACACCTGGGGGAGGATTTTTACTTGAAGAAAATTAAACTGTAGTTTGTGTTTTAAACACAGCTGCTAAAAGTATCTAACTGTTCTACACCATTAGAGTGTTTTCTGTCAAGCAGAGTTTGTAATGCCTGCTATGGTGAGGTGAAGTCAAAAAGAAATTGTACGTCACAGCTATTGACACTGGATCAGAGAAACCTCACCTTCTTATTTTCCCTGTTATTCCCCTCACTGTGTTGTACGATAGGAATTCCACAGAATGTAAATGACCTCTCACTTTTAAATCCTTACTGTTCTATAGTCTGTGTTTATTACGTGTAATGTAGATAATACACTCTGCACCTACACAGTTACGGCCTTATTCATCCTGCATTGAGTTGATACAGTGAATGTGAATGAGAGAATTGGTTAAAGTGTATTTTGAATGTGAATGCTGGATTGTTTTAATCTGAACACAGGTAAAAGTTATGACAGGTGAAAGCTATGGAAGCCCATTTCTTCCAGATGACATGAACATATTTAGGTTAAAATAAAAACAATTTCAAACTCAAAGTCAACATTATGAGACAAAGTATACGAGAAGTCAATATTTTAACCCAATCAGATTGACTTGACAAAATTTAGAATTATGTGATAATAAGCACGTCACAATTTGGAGTCATCAGGTTTTTGGCTATAACTCAGTTCATACACTAATTATAGCAGTATTTCACACAAATATCTCAGAGGATAAAATGAAGTGTTGACATTTTATATCAAAAGTTCAAATGTCAGCTTCACTGTGTCATCATAATGCAATAACACTTTTCTGGGCATTACTAAACACCATAATGAAACTGTGCTGATTGTATAGATCTTCTGTGCTGTTGGGGGGGGGAGATGTGTGTGAAGCATCAATGTTTTAACAGACGTGGATGTTAACTTTGAGTGCAACTGGACTGGTTTGCGAAGGCATACAAGCGAAGCGGTAATTTGAATTTTTAATGAACGGTTACATTTTTAAGTCCAAACTTATGAGATAGTCAATTAGCCTGGAAATCCAGACTCCAATCTAGAAAGATTTTGAGTCTGGCCCTCACAGATAGACCCTTCCTACCCGAGGGGCGGCACTAACTGAGGCAATACAAATGCCGCCACATGCAATTGGATAGCATGATGGCCAATCAGAGCAAAATACAAGGTGACATATTCATTGCACTAAGCCCTATTTGTTTGCCCAACAGTGGGGCTAACTGATTTATTATGCTTTTGCCGTATCCTGTCGGCAAAACAGCAAAAATGTCCCTCCTGGAAACGAAGGCCTCTAGGGCAGTGTTCTGTTCTGTTCAGTGTAGTTGGGTTAGCGTTTCTTCCAAAGCTAAATCGAATGGACGCGGTCCTTCGGCAACTGCCATCTTGGCTGTTTACTTTTCGACTCCTATGGCGCAGTGCTGTTCCAGAGCCTGCCTTCATCAGATAGACTGATCTGATTGATTCGATTTGCGATTCAATGTGCTCTGTTAGTTGGGGCCAGATTCCCGTGCAGTGCAAATTTGAATTTGCAAGGGACGGGGCATTTGGATTTCCAGGGTAATAGTCAATTGTAATTATGAGGAAATTCAAATAAAAATCTGACATAGTACTTTACAATTCAGAAATTGAATCGCACTGACATAATCGTATCATCCCATATACCATAATTTGATTTTATTTTTGTTATTTGAAAAGCTTGGTGTATGTATCTGTCCTGGCAGTGATGGTCTTCCACAGAGAGGGGAACATGCTGTTACTGTGCTGTCACTGAGTGCCAAAGTGGGCCTGTCTCCATATGCATCACACATACTGTCAACATGATCAGGGTGCAATAGTTAATTTTAGTGTGTTGAAGTGCTGATAAGGTTGTTTTTCTTTGAGTATTACCATGTTTTTATGTTACTGCCTCGATTTCAAAAGGACCTGTGATTTAACAGGAGGACCTGTTTTCTGATCTGCTGGAGTGAGCATGCAGTATTGATGCTGAGATGAGCTCTCTGACTCACAGCGGGCTAATCCAGCCTTTTTTCACTAAATGTGTGATTCTGCTGTTTGTGTGTTGTTACATTTCTTTAAGTTGCCTCATCTCACTTGGATTGAAGAGTCAGATTTTTGACTTGTTTAAATACCTGAAGACGGCTGATTGTTTTACCTTATTCAGTCCTGTTACACCTTCGGATATTTCTCTTGTTATTTGAGTGTGGGAGCAATATTGAAACACAGAGGTTTCAGAGTGGAAACAGCACCACTGATTTAAGTTTTTCACTCTGTCATATTCAAGCCATTTCAGAAGAGTTGAGCATGTCCATTTGCTGTCAGCTTTGAAGGCTAACGTGGACTTTGATAATTGCACACACTCAAGTGTAAAGTGAACCAAATGAATGTTTTTGTTTGTTTTTTACCAGCAATGGTTAATGCATGCATTGAAGTTGCATTTTTCTTTAGTTAAATTTTGAAATATTGCCTTTGAAGAATGTTTGAAGCAGTGATGCTGCAGCTGAGATGGTTTGATTACAGACTGATGTTTGTAATAAATTTTCTGATCTGATGTTGTTTGTCTTTATTTTGCTGTTATTGTCTACCATTTACATCTGTGAGGAATGAAATTCTCCTGACATGATTTCTGCGGCCCAAAGCTGCCACTGACTAACATGGCTGCTGATTGTTGGAACAAAGTTTAAGAGTCGGAGTTTTTATAAAGCTTTGAAATTTGCACCTTACTATTCACTGTAAATGAAATTTTAACTGGGGGTGCCAAAACTTTTGCATGCCACTGTGTAACACTGTTGTGTTTCTGATCATTTAGTGTTCAGCGCTTTGGACTGAAGTCTCTGGGTCATCCACAGAGAGTCACTGTGGGACTGTTTCCTCAGTGGAAAACAGCTCTGAGTGACAAAGGCAAAACCTGAATGAGTGTAAAAACAGATATAATGCAGATGCTTTAATACAAAGAAGGAGCGCGTTTGATGAGTTTGAAAATGATGTGAATCGTATGCTATGTTCTTCAAGGTCACCAATCTCAACCCAACTGAACTATGGGGGCTTTTGGCTCTCTTTCCACTATCATCATCAAAACAGCAAAAAGCTGCTTCACAGTTTGCTCTGATGAAAATCCTTGAGCTATCTGTGTGGGAAATAGCCATGAGCCTGGCCCGTCAGCACAAAACAAAATGTTCAGTCCAAAAGTCCTGAGGTGAAAAGATTTGTGAGAGGCAGAGATATGAGGTGAGCCACTGTCCCTGGACTTGTATCCTGGCAGACCTCGCAGCTCTGATAAGACGATGTGCTGTTGTGGGGAAAGAACATACAGTAGTATAGACTCAAGGTTTAGGAATGGAGCTGAAAATGGCTGGGAAGCATGCAGGAGTTTACCCCCTCCTGACGGGGTTGGCTCTGTGTCTGAGACATAGGGTGGGGGGGTTAAGGCAAAGAGACATCAGTGATACAGGTCCGAGGTTAACTTAAGTTTAAATCTGGAGAGAAGATTTAAAGTGTTTTTGGAGTGGTTAGACAGCTAATCCTTCATTTAGATATCAAGAGAGACCCAGGCACAAGGATCCACAGATACAGTATAACCACAGATAAACACACACATTCCAAAGGAGAGAGTGTGTCATCCAACAGATTCCCAGTCAACCTGGATGTGAAGTCCAGTTATGCTGATTTTTCTCAACTGCTGTTCCCAAACTCAAGAAGAGTTTTGACCCTCATGCTTCCAAATGTCTAATATTTAAAAAGCTCAGAACAATTTGATATGGATTACTGAACACGCCAACTGGGCACAGACTGAGGGGCCCAAAGTGTTGTGGGCCCTGTCACGGGGATGCCCCGTGACCTCTAATGGTAAAAGACAAACACACACAATGCTTGTCCACCTCCAGGCACTTTCACACACCATCTAGCCAGCAGGTGTCTGGGGTTGGTAATTAGCACAATTAAGGTTGAAACCTGGTAGTTGTAGGTGTGTAGTTGTTTTGGTGCTTCAGTGTCACAGGCACATTTAAATGAAGTCAGGAAGAAAAGTCTGACAATATTGTGGTTTTAAATCTCTTTATTTGACTAATTCTTTTGTGTGTCTCACCTCTCCTCTAGACTGCACTTGGCCAACCTCTGGTTTGGACTCAGGAACTGCCAAACCAGACCCCACCCATCTGGATTCCTTTTATAGTCAAGTTCCTGGGGGAATGTGCCAAGTGTAGTATGGATGAGGGGGAGTTTTGGGGAGATATTTGTGCAAGTGTTGATTTTGAGCAGTTTAAGAACATTTTTACTCTTTTGGAGTGTGTAGCAATGTTTTTCACTGTTGGCTTATAAAAAGTAGTCTGAAGAGTATGAATTACTCACTGCTGATTGTTGATTGATTAATTAATTGTATTTCCCATGTGTAGGAGGAGCTACGGTCTATATATGCAGGAGTTGGAAGCTTCTCTCAAGTTTCTGAGATCTGTCTAGCAGGCCGGCCACAGCGGCTGTTACTGCCAGGGGCCCAAACTTAAAGGGGGCATAGCCCGGTGCAGAGTTGATTTTTGTTTTAGTTTTTCTTCAGTTTTGGCCAGCTGAACTGCACTGTACATATTGCTGCACCTAACCCACTGCTGGAAAAGAAAAGGGAAATAAAAAAATTGGACTGTTGAACAGTTTAAAGTCCTCTTCCTTTTGCCTTCACTGCTCGACCAACCTTACAGGCCCCCTGGCCTTCACTTACTAAATGTCACTAATATTAACACGTATCGACCAGGAAGAGACTCAAAATGACCACAAAGAGTTGCAAAGGAACTGCAAAGAGACACAAAATAAAAAAACCTGACAAAACAAACATAAGGAGGCACAAAACAACCAATATAGATACAAAAAGACCACAAAGGCATGCAAAGGAATGGCAAAGAGACACAAAATAACTACAAAGACTAGAGGGAACTACAGAGACACAAAATAGTGACAAAAAATGGCAAAACAACTAAAAGAGACACAAAACAACCTAAAAAACCCCACAAAAAGACCATAGACACATGCAAAGGAACGGCAAAGAGACACAAAATAACTACAAAAATGGGTAAAACAACCACAAAGAGACACAAAAAGAAATACACAGAAAGATAAATAAGAACCAAAAAGAGATGCAAAACCATTCATCCATCCATCCATCCATTTTCATCCGCTTATCCGAGGTCGGGTCGCCGGGGCAGTAGGCCAAGCAAAGCACCCCAGACATCGCTCTCTTCAGCAACACTTTTCAGCTTCCCCTGGGGGACCCCGAGGCATTCCCAGGCCAGATGAGATATATAATCCCTCCAGCATGTTCTGGGTCTGCCCCCAGGCCTCTTACCAGTGGGACGTGCCCTGAACACCTCTAGCAGGAGGCGCCCAGGAGGCATCCTGATCAGATGCCCAAACCACCTCAACTGACCCCTTCTGATGCAAAGGAGCAGCGGCTCTACTCTGAGCTCCCCCCGGATGTCTGAGCTCCTCATCCTATCTCTAAGGCTGAGCCCAGCCACCCCATGGAGGAAACTCATTTCCGCTGCTTGTATCCGCAGTCTCATTCTTTCGGTCACTACCCAGAGCTCATGTGAGGGTTGTGAGGGTTGGGAAGCAAATGGACCAGTAAATTGAAACCATGACGGACCCGCGCAGCGCCTGCATCACTGCAGAAGCCGCACCAAACCGCCAATCCATCTCGTGAGCAAGACCCAGAGATACTTGAACTCCTTTGCTTGAGGCAGTAACTCTCCCCCAAGCCAGAGAGGGCAAACCGCTGCTTTCCAGCAGAGCACCATGGCCTCAGATTTGGAGGTGCTGATTCTCTGATTCTCATCCTGATCGCTTCACACTCGGCTGCAAACTGCCCCAGAGCTTGCTGGATGTCACAGTGTGATGAAGCCAACAGAACCACATCATCTGCAAAAAGCAGAGATGCAATTCTTTTTTTTTTTTAAGATATTTTTTTAGGGCTTTTTAGCCTTTAATGTATAGGACAGACAAGCATGGGGGGGGGGGGGGGGGGGGGGGGGGGGGGGGAACGAGGACGAGTGACATGCAGCAAAGGGCCACAGGCTGGAGTCGAACAGGATCAGTGACAAGGGATAACCTTCATGAAGGCCAACACCCACCAAGAACGTGTTTGACTTGACAAGTATGCAGACACAGCTCTCACTTTGGTCATACAGGGACCAGATAGCTCATAGCAGCAAGCCCAGTATCCCGTACTCCCGCAGTACCCCCCCC